GGAGACTGACAGGTTGCAGCATTCTGTCTGGGAGACTGACAGGTTGCAGCATTCTGTCTGTGAGATTGACAGGTTGCAGCATTCTGTCTGGGAGACTGACAGGTTGCAGCATTCTGTCTGGGAGACTGACAGGTTGCAGCATTCTGTCTGGGAGACTGACAGGTTGCAGCATTCTGTCTGGGAGACTGACAGGCTGCAGCATTCTGTCTGAGAGATTGACAGGTTGCAGCATTCTGTCTGTGAATCTGACAGGTTGCAGCATTCTGTCTGTGAGATTGACAGGTTGCAGCATTCTGTCTGTAAGATCGACAGGCTGCAGCATTCTTTCTGGGAGATTGACATGTTGCAGTCACAGTGCATTTTGGAAAGCAATTAATTAAAACAAGTCTCCTGGGAGAAGATGCAAAGAATGGCCAGCACAGTTGTGAACACAGATATTAGAGACACGCTCGACCTGCAAATCACATAGGAGCGAAGACAGGTTAAAAAATGGGATGGGCGTTGATGGTGTGAATCCCTGCGAAACCCTTGTCACAGGATGATGATGATGATAATGATGATGATGATGATGATGATGATGATAGTTATTAGGATTGGAATTTCTCTACAGTTATTCATCTATGTCTCCATGATATTTTTATCGTTTCACCGCAGTTCAATAATTTCACCGGCCTTGTGTGTTCACCTCTCTCAGTACTGCTGCCATCTGTTTGTGCCCGTCACACTCTATACTGTGTTCTGTTGTTTAACATTATGGTCTTTAATTCTTTAAATATACTTTTAATTCTTTTTATTTTTTTTTTAATTCTTTTCATTTTTTTTTTTTACTGTCTCGCTCGCATTCTTTCCTATCTTCCTGTTTCCTTTTTTCTTTGCTTCTAGATACTCAGTTAAGTGATGTTTATTTGTGTAGTTTTGTTTGATTTATGTATGTGCTGATGAAGGCTCTATAGCCGCAAAAGTTTACGTTTTATTTGTGTTTGTTATTATATGAAGCTCGCTGGTGTATTTTTTCGTTCGGTTTTATATCTTTCCAAGTTATTCACCTAGAGTTGACTGTCTCCTCCGTACTCTTTGATTGTCTTTGCCTCAGCTGACGCTACACGTCTCTAACCAAGCGTAGCCTTAAAGGTGACCAGAGGAGATCTGTCTCACTTTACAGACATCAGTCGATGGACACAGCAGTCACACAGCAGGACACGCTTGCATGTATGTATGTATGTGTGTGCGGGTTAATTAGACATGCACCCGCATTCACATGCACATAAACATGTATATATAGGCAGGCAACCGGAGACATTAGGTAACAGTCGATGTCTGTCTACCTATAGCAGACATTCTCACAACAGACTGGATTTACACTGGTAAGTGTCGATACCTGGAATCTTAATATACTCTATCTTCCCTGCTCCTCTTTATTTATACTTGTCTCCTCTCACTCTCTCTTTCTCTCTTTCTCTCTCTCTTTCTCTCTCTCTCCCTCTCTCTCTCTCTCTCTCTCTCTCTCTCTCTCTCTCTCTCTCTCTCTCTCTCTCTCTCTCTCTCTCTCTCTCTCTCTCGTTGATTTTTGCCGCTTATGATTCTTTCTGTCGTTGATAAAGATTTTAGTCTAGTTTTAGGTTTAGACGACTGATCAACATCATGGCACAAGGGTAGTAATCCATAAGTGCTTCTTTCTACTTCAGACTCAAGCCTGAGTCCGAAGAATCCCAGGGCAGTGCACGAACTCCATATCACCGGCGAGGAACCAGAAAACGTTTCAGAGACCAGCGCAAATTACTAAAAGTCCACGTTAAAAAATTCCAAGCCTTCTCCGTTGCTTGAACCCGGGACCTACGCCACCCCCCCCCCCCCCCCAATCATTTTAGTCTGAATTCTTCTTTCTATCGGTGTACCTCTGTTAATGTCCTTGTACTTGGCAGCTCTGCCATTCTTTGTGTTGTATCAAATTCGTTACCTCCTAGTATCAAACGGAAGGGTTTTGGCGCTTTTCACTCATACGAGTGACTGGGGTTGGTCCTATCGAGCGATTGCATTTTTTTACTAGTGCAACCTAAGAAAATCCTAACCTGTGTCGTCCGTGGTCAACGCACTAGCCGTGAGGTCCAGAAGTCTCGGGCTCACAACCCCCAGTGTCCTACATGGACCCCTCTCCACGCTTTCAGTCGTCTTGGGCTCTAGGTTAAATTTAAATTTTTGACCAATCGGCACTTGGTGGGTGATGTGCTTAACATCACAAGGGCCGCCTTTACTTCTCATGACTTCACCTGGTACCTATTTAAGGCTGGGTCGACCTGGGAGCCAATCTCATTTCTAAACATGGTCTAGCTCCGTTCGGATTTGAACCCCTATCTTCGGATCCTCTGGCGAGCGTTTAACAGCTACTCTGTAGCCGCTCCCATGTTCTACTCAGAAAATAAATTATTCCTTCACGATAACATACTTTCAATTTAAACATTATATGACACCCCCTTTTTTCGTCCCACTAACATGCTTGAACCAGGCCCAAAATGTGACACTGCGTTTTTTTTAAATTATAAATATATACATATATAAAATAAAGCCCTACCCCGGCTGGACTTAGATTACATCCTAACCGTCGTCGGGATCTATAAAGGGTCTTACGGTTAAACGGGGGTTCTGGGTCTTGGGCCCCACCGGAATTCTCATCAGAATAGTGGCGCTTTGTGCGGTCCTGGAGAGGGTAAACCTGACGTAGTTCGTCTGCCTGTTAATTCGAACTAGAACCTAATTAAGGTTGTTGCGTATCCTTTTACATGACGTTGCAGAACCAACCCCAACAGCCCCTGTATGTCCAGTAGTTTGTCATTGCTTACTGGACGGTCGGCTTTTTCGATACCACTGTCGAAATCATCGCAAGGCGCATGGCCCGCCGCTGGGATCGAACCCGGGGCCCCGGCATTACGAAGCGTTTGCATCGACTTAGAGAACCTAATTACCTAGGTAAAATATAGGCCACTGAGCCAGCTTACCTGTATATGTACTTATTTTATTGTCATCCATGATGTCTCAATTCTACCGACTGCAAACATGGAAGAGAACAGTTACCTTACCCTGAGATTAGGCAGGAACTTGTGAGGGTCCACCTAGACATTCCCGCCGTCTACCAGTGGTTCACGGTCTACCAGTGGGTCACGGTCTACTAGTGGGTCACGGTCTACGAGTGGGTCACGGTCTACCAGTGGGTCACGGTCTACCAGTGAGTCATGGTCTACCAGTGGGTCACGGTCTACTAGTGGGTCACGGTCTACCAGTGAGTCACTATCTACTAGTAAGTCACGGTCAACCAGTGAGTCACGGTCTACCAGTGAGTCACGGTCTACCAGTGAGTCACGGTCTACCAGTGAGTCACGGTCTACCGGTGAGTCACGGCCTAGTAGTGAGCCATGGTGTACTGGTTGAAGAACACTGGTCGAGCTGAAAAGTCAGTACAACATCAACATTTTTTGAACTGCCCCATTTTCCAAACAAAATTTGTTTACACAATGACACTAAAACTGCATTGCTCATTGCCTTTGTGAATGTTACTGTCTAGACAACGTTGCACTAGTTGGTGCAGCTGCTAGTTAAATGAACTTTATAACAGGTGTTTCTCGATGGCTCTCACTTTTCATTTAAGGCCAGCTATGTTGTAATACATCATTTGCAGTTGTCTTCCTCTTTACCCCCTTCAGTTATTCATCAACGTGTATGTGGGCGTATATGTGTGTGTGTGTGTGTGTGTGGGGGGGGGGGGGAAAGAGGTGGGAGCGGGAGACTTTCATGTGCGCCTTTTCTAAAGCTTTGTTTAATTTGGCCTTCATTTCCTTAAGGCTCTTCTTGATGCGGTCGCTCCATCTTCTTTATAGTCTTCCCTTGCTCAGTGCCCATTGAATTTCTTTACATCTTTACTCTTTCATGCACTGTTTCACCGGTTTCTGACCTAGTCTTCTTTTTTCCGCATTTTTTTATTATTTCTCATCTTGTTTCAGCGGCAGCTCTCCTAACACATGTTGTCTCTGGTGTTATGATTCTTTGCGCTTGATTTAGTAAGGCTTTTATAACTGGTGCACTAAACTTGACCAAAAGCAATTTTAATTAGATTTACCACGGTAGCAAAGGTATACTTATGTATATCAAAATTACTGTTAGTTGAGTTAGTTTGTTTTCTTTTGTATTTATTCTTCTTTCAGATGGGAACATTGTCCCTAGATTTTAAAATTCCCTTCTTGTTTGTTTATTCACTGTGTCATGTATTTGTGTTGGTGTCGTTTCTGATTGTCAGCTGTCACCGTTATCTCTGTTGTTTCCAGCTCGTTTTTATAATTCGGCCACTCATTGTTGACTCCCGACACTTGGTGCTGATTTCTGACACTTGATGTTGACTCCTGAACCTTTGTGTTGATTTCTGACACTTGGCGTTGACTCCTAAAACTTGGTGTTGACTCCTGACACTTGGTGTTGACTCCTGACACTTGGTGTTGACTCCTAACACGTGGTGTTGACTCCTGACACGTGATACTGACTCCTGACACTTGGTGTTGACTCCTGACACTTGGTGTTGACTCCTGACACTTGGTGTTGACTCCTGACACTTGGCGTTGACTCCTAAAACTTGGTGTTGACTCCTGACTCGGGGTGTTGACTCCTGAACCTTGATGTCGACTCCTGACACTTAGTGTTCACTCCTGACACTTGGTGTTGACTTCTAACACGTGGTGTTGACTCCTGACACGTGGTGTTGACTCCTGACATGTGGTGTTGACTCCTGATACGTGGTGTTGACTGCTGTCACTTGGTGTTGACTCCTGCCATTTGGTAGTGTTGACTCCTGAAAAATGCAGCTCCGTTTGGATTCGAATCTATGGCTTTTGGATCCGTAGGCGAGTCACTAACCACAACACCGCGGCGTCTGCCATTTGTCATTGTACAGTCGGTATCTAATTCCTTTTTCATGTGTAACCTATCGAAGTTGGCAACTTATATGTTTGACAGCCACAATGAAGGAAGCATGGGATTACACGCATTTCTGTTCGTGTGTAAAGTTGGGTCTCCTGGTCGTTTCGCTAGTAGCTGCCGAAGGATCAGGGGAGGATGTTTCTTGGTGGCAATCATCAATCGTCTACCAGGTGTACCCTAGGTCTTTCAAAGACTCGGACGGGGATGGAGTGGGAGACATTCCAGGTGAGAAACGTTCACTTCCTGTGGGCTGGATACGATGTTCTGTGTGTCACTGTTCATTTGCATTTTTTCCAGGTGTCTGCGGGGTTCGGTCTTTAAGTATATTTACAATAAATTTGCAAATCTTAGCAGACATTTGCACCATTTATCTATCTCTTTCTCGGTCTTCCCCTCGCCTTGCTATCAGATGTGCTGTAAAAAGTCTCATAAGCAGCTTGGGCTGGCTGCTTTCTCACTAGATGGCTGAGCTTTTCTGTCAAAAATAATTCAGCCACGGTCAGAAAAAAAAAGAAAAAAAATTCTATTACTCGAACCACCCTAGAATCGCAAGAAATACGGAAAAACACTGGACTGCAACATGGTATCAATGAGGCGACCAAAAAAAATGAAGATAGAAAAGTTAACAGTTACAGAAGTAAAGGAGTTAAACAGTAGATCAAAGTATATTACGAGTTTCACATTGTCAAGAGCCATGTTAACGTCTTATATAATGATATACCTGACACACATCAGTTTGATATTTATGCCAGGGCACACAGGCGTGCCAGGAAATTAGGAAAGGCTACGGTGGAACGAGGATTTGCTATGGGACAGGCTGATATACTGAATGCTGTACGAGAAGTAAGACGTTTGCGAGAACAAATGATGGCTGAATCTGCAAACATGACCACACTACAAGAACAACTGGTTAAAAGGGGTGTAGCCAGACAAAAGCACTACCCAGGAAGCCAAAACAAAGAAGGATGAGAAAAGCAACTCAGGACTGGTGTTGTCACTGCTATACGCTGAGAGACTTACTGAGGATGGGATACGAGCAATGGTAAACTGAATGGTTTAATGTGCAATGGGAATAAACCGTCGACTAACGGTTGACCTACTTTCAATGCACCAATCGACACTCACTAGTATCAGCAGAAAAGAGGGCGCTATACTGGATACACTCTGTAAAGAATCGAACAGGGAATCACCAGATTGCAACGTTGAGTAACCGACGCTCAACCCCACCAGGATCGCACAACAAGCAATGAACACCCGCTGACACAAAGTGTCAGCATCCTGATGTGGATCACATAGGTGCAAGTTCAAGAAACCCTGTTCAAGCGTCGGGCCAAATTAGAGTACCCGACTGCTGCCGGGGCGGGGCTTCTTAAAAAAGAAAAATTTGCCCTATATTGAAAGAATTATAAATATCGTCTTCGTCGTTTTGAATTTGTAAAGTTCAGCCGCTTCCTATGTAGCTAGCCTTTCGTCATTTTTTTTTTTTTTAAATACAATAGTTACTGTCATCTCAACGTGTTCACTTTTTTTTTTTAGGTATCATTTCAAAACTAGATCACTTCACCTACTTGAATGTGGACACGTTCTGGTTGAGCCCTGTCTACAAATCGCCCATGCGAGATTTCGGGTACGACATCTCCGATTTCCGGGATATAGACCCACTGTTTGGAACGCTCGACGACTTTGATGAACTGATCCAGAAGGCTCACGATAAAGGTCTACATTACTCATTACTAACACTTTGCACATCGTAATCTCTACAACCAACACAATTATCTTCACCAACACAACCATCGTCACAACCACAACTATCAACATCACTGCTAAAACCATCACTACTGCTATTACTAGCATAGCTACCACAGTTACTATATTCAGTAAACAAAATGAATATCAGCATTACTTTCTACAACCACAACTATTACTGATACCATCGGAACTGCTATTGCCCTCACCCTACACCTTCTGTGTTTTCTTCTTCTTTCTTCCTTTCTTTTCTTTTCTTTTCTTTTCTTTTCTTTTCTTTTCTTTTCTTTCTTTCTTTCTTTCCTTCTTTCCTTCTTTCTTTCTTTCTTTCTTTCTTTCTTTCTTTCTTTCTTTCTTTTTTTTTTCTTTCTTTCTTTCTTTCTTTCTTTCTTTCTTTCTTTCTTTCTTTCTTTCTTTCTTTCTTTCTTTCTTTCTTTCTTTCTTTCTTTCTTTCTTTCTTTCTTTCGTTATTTCTTTCTTTCTTTCGCTGCCTAAGCTACTGAATTAAGTGCTTGGTGCAGCAATGTGAGCTGTTTTTTTTAATGTGGGTAATGATTTTCATTTGCGCAGTGGTTGTGTCGCTGTATTAAGTTTGGCGAGTAGCAGGTTTACTTACTTGCTTGCTAAATACCGTATGTAATTGTGTTTTTGTAAGGTCAATTTATCCTAACTTCCTCTATCAACGACAAAATGCATTTCTTTGGCCCCTATAGCAATAGCATTATGCATTTACTGCGCGCGCATATATCTCCTTTGTTTGTTTACTAGCTTTTTTTATGGGACAGTGGGGAAGGGGGGGGGGAACATCTCATTTGAATGTCACTGGCATAGGAACGCGGCAAGTATGGGTTGATCCAAATGCAGCGAAGTTGAAAGCTCGACTACGACTACTTCTTTTTCCTTCTTCTTTCTTATTCTTCTTTCTCTTTCTCTTAATGAGCCAGTGAGATTCGTTGCTGGAGAAATCAATTGCTGCAGAAATCACCCGCCTCCATTCTTCCCTGTGACTGTGATTTACAAAATGTTGCCAGTTGGTGACTCGGGGTCTTCATTTCTGTCTGATAGTATTAATCCACGTTCCATTTTGCATGCAGTCTAGTCTACTCTCAATCAAATCTTTAACTGAGTTTCTCTTTTTTCCCATCCTCTCTAAATGTACAATCTTTGTAATCTATTAGCCCACATGATGCCATGTTTTAGTGGTAATTTAAAGAGATTATAAACTTTATTGTTGCTTTTCGCTCTCCATTCTCTGTTACTTGCATCTTGAGTTGAAAGATAGTTAACAAGAATTTTCTCAAACATTTATTAGGCTTCGTCTCTTTCAGTTTATCTACATCTGTCACTACCATTATCATTGTTATATTTATCATCACAGTTGTCTTCACTAGTCATTACCACTACCATCATCAGATCACCCTAATAACGACCACTACAATTATAATCGTTACCACCATCAACATCTCTATTACATCCACCACTGCTTCAGCCACTAGAAATACAAATGTACTACTGTTACCACTATCACAAACGCTACTACTATCACCCCCACTGCGACCACTATGCCACTACTATTAAAATCACTACTATCATCACCACTGTTTTTGCTACAAACAGTTTTCTCGTGAAAGCTTCTACCACCATCACTAACATTACCATCGTTTTTACCAGTATTGCTACTAGCGCAATTACTACCACCACCTCAATAACACTAATCACCACTACTGCTACAATTTACATGGCTACTAACACCACAGCAACCATCAACGCCTATAACACAATTACTACACACCACTACCAAACCGCTCTCACCAGTGCTACAATTACCATCAACAGGGCAATTAACACAACAACTACCACCATTGCCTTTGTAACCACCATCACTGCTGCAACCAATACCCTAACGGCTACTATCACTACAACAACTACTTACCCCTACCATAATGGCCACAGCCGCCATCATTATTAACAGCACCACTATTCACAACGTGCAACTAGACGCTAGTCTGTGTATACGAAGGTCTGGGTCGATTAGAACAGGAATTTGTTTTTCTTTGTTCCATAATTGCCTTGGCTCCCAGGCTGACCAAGCCTTGTGTGGTTTGAGGTTTTGAACAAAGGATCAACATCATGGTACACAGGTAGTAACCCAAGTGCTCCGTTCTTCTTCGGGCTCAGACTTGAGTTAGCTCAACACAGAGCACAGACTCTGTAGCACTGCAAGGATCCTGAAATACTTTATGTAGATTTTTAACTCCATATTTTGACCGGGCAGCCCAGTTAGGCGATTTTCGATTTATAACTGCCAAGGGATTTATTACGTTCGCAACAATTGCACACGAGCGTCCGATCTCACTACCCAGAGACCAGGGGGAATTACTAGAAGTCCGTGTGAAAAAAATGCCAGCCCTTACTGGGTATTGAACCCTCAACCTCTAGCACTTGAGGCGGACACCATGCCTCGAGACCACGCAGCCCCCTAGCATGTGGGTACCAGTGCTGGGTAGTAAAAGTGGCCGGCAGGATGTTGACCCCAGCACTCAAGGAGTGTCAGCTGGTTTATACAATATAACCCTTGCATGAAGACGTGGGAAAAGTGAACGTTCCCTTTACTGTTCAAAACGTAGAAACGTTGTTTTGATTTTCTCACATATTCTCAGGTATAAGCGTCCTGATGGATTACGTCCCTGGACACACAAGCACAGACCATGAATGGTTCCAAAAGAGCGCCAATCGTGAAGGGAACTACACCAACTACTATGTGTGGAACGACGGAATCAAACTGGACAATGGAACATACGTGGCTCCAAATAACTGGGTGCGTACAGGTTTACTGTCGCAAGTGTTTTCGTGTATATGTGGGTGTGTATGCGCGCGCGCGGGCGCGTAGTGCTTCTGTGGAATGCTACTTGTAGTTTATTTGACAGAAGTATTTTTTTTTTCGTTTTAATATTCTGTCTATTCCAGTTAGTTTACTTTGTTTAGTTAGTTAGTTAGTTAGTTAGTTAGTTAGTTAGTTAGTTAGTTAGTTAGTTAGTTAGTTAGTTAGTTAGTTAGTTAGTTAGTTAGTTAGTTAGTTAGTTAGTTAGTTAGTTAGTTAGTTAGTTAGTTAGTTAGTTAGTTAGTTAGTTAGTTAGTTAGTTAGTTAGTTAGTTAGTTAGTAGTTAGTTAGTTAGTTAGTTAGTTAGTTAGTTAGTTAGTTAGTTAGTTAGTTAGTTAGTTAGTTAGTTAGTTAGTTAGTTAGTTAGTTCGTTAGTTAGTTAGTTAGTTAGTTAGTTAGTTAGTTAGTTAGTTAGTTAGTTAGTTTAGTTAGTTAGTTAGTTAGTTAGTTAGTTAGTTAGTTAGTTAGTTAGTTAGTTAGTTAGTTAGTTAGTTAGTTAGTTAGTTAGTTAGTTAGTTAGTTAGTTAGTTAGTTAGTTAGTTAGTTAGTTAGTTAGTTAGTTAGTTAGTTAGTTAGTTAGTTAGTTAGTTAGTTAGTTAGTTAGTTAGTTAGTTAGTTAGTCAGTTAGTTAGTTAGTTAATCCACAGTTCATCCTCACCGCATATTAGATCCCCTGATGATCCTAAAAATGATAGCGCTAACAGAACTGGTTTGAGGGTATACTAAAGGTATACTGAGGGTATATGGAGGGTATACTAAAGGTATACTGAGGGTATATGGAGGGTATACTAAAGGTATACTGAGGGTATATGGAGGGTATACTGTTCTGCTCATCCAAAATACATTGCCTGAACTTGTCAGCTGGTCGTAGCCCTGTTTAATTTTGTGAGGCTCGTAAAAGAAAAAAAAAATACTTCTCGTACTGATTAATGACCTCCCCCCCCCCCCCACCCCCACCCACCCGCCCCAAATTCCTCAACACCTTCCCTCCGTCCCACGACACCCTAACAAGTGGTCAAAAACAGCCCCTAAAAAAGTTTCAGTGTCTCCTTTTCGCTGTCTTCGGTGTTTTTTGTGCTTGACCAAATCAGCTAAACATGAGACAAAGTGAACAAGCATTTGTTAGGTCTTATGATGGTTCTGACAAGTATGACGTCCAGAACGTGCTTTGCTTTGCTGAAAACAAAAAAAAAAAACGTTACCTTTAACCACCAGCATCCCCGCAGGGGGAGCTTTAGGTTAAATTTGTGACTAGTTTATGTTTGCCATATAAAATGGCTCAGCACTGCATGCCACAAAACCCCGAAAAAGACTCCTGCTGTGTTAATGTGATCACAGGAGCTAGATCTAAATACTCTCCCGACCGGCCACGAAGTCGTCTACCGGCGAGACGTGTTTAGAATGTGGGTCTCAGCAGTCTTATAAGTGGTCTATATTCACAGATAATAAGGTCCATGTTCTGATTAGTTGTCTGTGTTGGGGTAGAACATATACAGGAAGCATTATGGAATTTAAAAGTATAATAACAACTATAATAATAATAATAATAATAATAATAATAATAAACTGAAAATATTTATTAGTCTAGTATTTGTTTCTAATTGGGGTAATACGTGAAAAGTTAGCGGAGGGAGGGAATTGAAATGTTCAAACTAACAGTTTTAGAGGCTCGCCTTCTGTTGATTGTCTGTATTGCCACGGACAGTAAGTTGAGGGAAATAATTAAAACTACCAAACAAATGTGACTCTTGTTTCAGCTGTCTGTGTTCGGTGGCTCTGCCTGGGCCTGGCATTCTGTCAGGAAACAGTTTTACTACCACGCGTTCATCCCCGAACAAGCAGATCTAAACTACAGGGATGAGAACGTTCAGCGAGAGATGAAGGTTAGTACCTCAATCAGGGATGAGAACGGTCAGCGAGAGATGAAGGTTAGTAACTCAACCAGGGACGAGAACGTTCAGCGAGAGATGAAGGTTAGTACCTCAATCAGGGACGAGAACGTTCAGCGAGAGATAGAGGTTAGTACCTCAATCAGGGACGAGAACGTTCAGCGAGAGGTAGAGGTTAGTACCTCAATCAGGGACGAGAACGTTCAACGAGAGATAGAGGTTAGTACCTCAATCAGGGACGAGAACGTTCAGCGAGAGATAAAGGTTAGTACCTCAACCAGGAATGAGAACGTTCAGTGAGAGTTGAAGGTTAGTACCTCAATCAGGGACGAGAACGTTCAGTGAGAGATGAAGGTTAGTACCTCAATCAGGGACGAGAACGTTCAGTGAGAGATGAAGGTTAGTACCTCAACTAAATTGACGAGAACGTTCGCGAGAGATGAAGGTTAGTACCTCAATTATAGTGATTATTTACCTCAACTATAGCGACGAGAACGTTGAGCGAGAGATGAAGGTGAGTACTTCAATTATAGTGATTATTTACCTCAACTATAGCGACGAGAACGTTGAGCGAGAGATGAAGGTGAGTAGCTCAACTATATTGATGAGAACGTGCTACGAAAGATGAAGGTTAGTACCTCAACATTCCGTGTGTAACAAAAAATCTTGATTGGTCTAAATGAAGAGGTCCTTGTGAAATATATTCATCGTCAATCGTCAGGATAGTTTTTGCTGCGGGATATACACAGAGTCATCATAGTCGCTTTTATATCTGTGACAATACGCTCGGTGACTCCAGAATGTCTTTCCTCAACCTACTTTTATTTCTTTGTATTTTGAAAGTATACAGGAAAATAGGGATTTGGATACATCCTTAATCTTAGTAAGACGACCACATCACACCTTTAATTCTCCTGGACCGTTGGTCATATCAAACACTAAAACTTTTTCCCAGATGTTAAGTGTTAAGGTACAGAGATAAGACTGACCAAGCAGACTTACTGACTGGAGATTTGCACACCATTTGTTGGTGTCAGATAGTTATTCCCCCTGCCAGATCTTCAGGAACAGATAACAAGAGCTAATTGCCATAATCTCCCCCTGAGGTTACCTAACTCGACGGCAGGTCCGACGGTCACTATTGACACAGTGAGCGGAAAGTGTTGGCAGAAGAATTGACAAAGTCGGATTTTATTGTGATGACAGGTGAAGTAGACTAGAGGTGTGACTTGTCTTATTTGCTCTGGTCAGATGAATTGACCAGGAGATCCTAGCGTGGGAATTCAAACAATTGTTGTACAGTCACTGACTGACAGCGAATAAACTTACCCACAGGGGAGGTTCTATGATATCCTTGAATGAGAATGATTTTAGGCGTAATGTAGGAGGAGCTTGATAAAAGTTATAAAGTGGTGAACTTAAGGTCTGGTAAATGAGATCCTGTCTAGCACATGCCATCGGTTGGGCTTAACCTAAGCTTGAGACAGAACTTTTGGCATCGTGGTTTCATTTTTCCAGGTAAGATCGAAATTAGGTTCAAATCTATATTTTATGATAGAGATCTAACTGTCTTTTTGCTCAAGTGTGTGTCTTCATCACTTTGTAATACTCCTAGGCGGACATTTCTTCATTCTCGAAGGGCACTGTCACATTGCTTTATATCCTATTTGATAGTGTCATGAATGTTTTTCGTGTACATGTGTTTCAATGTTGTAAAACCTAAATGTTGTTGTTGCCATTGAAATTTAATGAACTATCAGGTTTTTGAAATCACAAGCGTGAAGATAACTTTGGCAATCTTTTCACGTGTGGTTAATGTGAATCTGTATTACATACAGCTAACACACTGAAATGTGTTTAACTCTCGGGAGGCTAATGCGGAGATTGATCCCGGAGAGTAAATCCACGAGATTTGTTATTTGATTCGCCCCAGAACTATTGTTAGCATTCTGGGCGCGTCGATTGTTCCAAGCATAGATTCCAGAACTGGTTCTGTCTGACTGATTGTCATTTTGAGTCTGTACGAGAGCTGGCACCTGACGTAGAAGACTTGACTATCATTACAGGACGTGTAGAGGAAGGCAGAAGATGTAACAGTTGGAATGTGAGACATAAGCCCTTCCAAATTGGACAGGAGTGAATGTGAGCATGAGGGAGAGATGAAATGTTTTATTTAAATAAACATGCTTGATGTTAGTATAATATACATGCTTAGTGTACATCTAGAGCAGATACTACAAATATGCGCCTGTTTCTTCATTCTCCAGTTCCCACATTGGGCAGGGACTAGTAGGCATCCATTATTTGCCGACCGTCGAGTGTAACGACCTGCAGAAAGCAGTGAGGACGACAAACTGGAAAAGATAGGCAGGGTCTCAAGCCGAGAACTGTCCTGACGGTGAATTCTCCTACTAGGAGTTAAGTATATGTACAAACTGTCATCATTCACATCATTCCAACTCTACTAGCCTAAACAAGTTCATTTTAATTTCGATTTATTCAAATAAATCATGTGTGATGAGTTTCATGATAGTTGAGTAAATTGTGTACTTAGGTTCAAGTGTCTTTGTGCATATTAGTTTACTTCAGCTAACAAATATTTAAATCACTTGATGGGGGCTTTTAAGTAATGCCAGGAGAGGAGAATAGTCGCAGGGGTTAACTGAGCACCTGGATTATATCACAGTGGGTGTATCCAGATATCTATCTATCCCTTCTCCTTCTCCTGTGGATACAAGTACAGCAACTTTCATTTCATGGAACGAGCCACTCGCTGTTTTCTTGGCTATCCAGGACTGTCTAGGATCAACATAGCTTAGATAATAGTCCAGTTTCTCACGTGGGTGGGCATTGTTAAGGTTCAAACCCACACCCTCACTATATCAGTGTATTTACCCACGTGGGCGCGCGACAATATCCAAGAATATTGCATCACAGCTTTTTTGAGCTGGATACACCGAGGAACTTAGTTCGACCTTTATGATCTCCATCATCAAGGGTTTCGAACCTAAGACGGTCAGACTAATGCTAAGCGTGATAGACACTGCGCCACTATTACCACATCCAGAAAATAAAACACTAGAGTATATCAATTCTTCATTTTGTGAAATGCAAAAATATCGCCTGAAGATCTAATGTATTTTGTAAATACACTTCTTATCTGTTGGAATTTTACCCATGAATATAAAAGATCAATGTTGGATATTTGCAAAGACAGTGGTACAAAAGGCAGTGCTCATACCATTACCTCTCGCGTGTCTTCTGGAGTCAATACTTGGGGTGGGATGTAGGGGAAGGCCTGACTTAAACCACTGCCCTCCACAAGCATAGAAACAAGTCAGTTCTGTAAAACGGATGTGCAGGCTAAACTCAAGGTCTGGAACAAGACCAAAGCCTAGAAGTGGACGAATAACCAGAACTGTCCGCCAAAATATACAACCGGTGAACAGTCAGAAGAAAAAAGCATCGGCTCTATTCTTTTCCTAAGATATGTGGGCGTAAAAGCGACGAGAGGATGGCTGACTTAGCAAATGCTGCAATTAGTTAGTTATTCCTCTTGTGCCAAAGATGGCGCATAGGGCAGAGGTCATAGCTTTCCACGTCTGTCGGTTCGTTGCCACTTGATGTAGGTCTTGAGTGCGACTGAGACCTATGGTTGAGCTCTCCCTTGTGATGGTTCTACGGAGAGTTTCTTTTGGTCTTCCCTGTTTTCTTTTACCCTCTGGTGACCATATGAAGGCTTGGTGGGGAAGTCTCTGTATGTCCATTCTGAGTACGTGACCGATGTAATTCCAGCGACGCATTCTAATAAAATCAGACACATATTTTTGTTTTGTTTCCTGTCTTATAGATGTGTTGGACCTAAAGTCCGACCAGTGAACATTCAATAGCTTTCGGAGGCATCTATTCTCGAAAGCGACTAGTTTCTTATCGATTGATACTGATGATTTCCAACTCTCACAACCATAAGTTAGCACTGGGATCACACAGGAATTGAAGACCTTAAGTTTCGTGTTGTTGCTGAGTGATCTTGACTTCCAAATGTTTGACAGTTTGTTAAAGGCACTTGATGCTAACGCGATTCGAGTCGTTATTTCTGATGTTGTATCTCCCGCAGAGGTTATCTTGCTCCCTAAGTATGTGATGCTGGTGATTTTTTCAAGAAAAATATCCTTTAGTTTGATGTCTTTCGACTCGTTGGTAAGATCGATGATTTTCGTTTTGGCTGCGTTGACCTGAAGGCCGATTTGGCTTGAAATATTCTGGAGGCGGTCCATTTTTTTCTGAGCTTCTAGATGTGTTGTGCTCAGGAGTGCTAGGTCGTCAGCAAAGTCAAGATCTTCGAGAACTTTGTCGACCCATTTGATGCCTAGATGTGTGTCCTGTGTGCATTTGCGCATGACCCAATCGAGTGCTATTCCGAAAAGCATCGGTGACAAGACACATCCTTGTTTCACGCCTGTTTCTACTGGGAACCAATCAGAGTTACCAGATTCCGTTCTAACAAGGCAGCGGGAATCGGTGTAGAAGGCCTTTATAATATTGACATATTTATCTTGGAAACCATAGATTGTGAGTAGCTTCCAGAGTGTAGGGCGGTGTATGCTGTCAAAAGCCTTCTGAAAATCAACAAAGTTGATGATGAGTTGGGATTGAAACTCTACTGACTCTTCTACGATGGTCCTGAGTGTGAATATATGGTCGATGCATGACCGATTCGGTCTGAATCCTGCTTGTTCTTCTTGGAGTCTTGCATCTATTGGCTTTTTCAGTCTCTGCATTAGCATGCTGCAGAACAGTTTTCCTGGTACGGAGAGTAGGGTGATACCACGCCAGTTGTTGCAGTCTGCTAAATCACCTTTTTTGGGCAGTTTGAATATAACACATTCTTTCCACTGTTGCGGTGGGGATTCATTTAGCCAAACATCATTGAACAGCTGTAGCAAATATTGTAAGGTGTTTTCGTCTGCTGCCTTTAACATTTCAGCTGAGATTTCATCTGCGCCAGTAGCCTTGTTCTTCTTTAGTTTTTTTATTGCTGATTTAAGTTCTAACATTGTGAATGGTTCACAGGTAGCATCTAGAGGGGGCATAGCTTCTTCTTCGTCTATATTGGGAACAGTGTCGGGTTGTGGCCTATTTAATATTTCTCTGAAATGTTCTGCCCATCGTTGCTTTTGTTGTTCTTCAGATAATAATAATTTACCCTGTTTGTCTTTGATGGGTGCGTTTGCTGTAGGTGTATGGTTGCACAGCTGTTTCATGATGTGGAATACAGCTTTATTGTTCCCAGTTCTGGCAGCCGTTTCAGCATCGCAAGCTAGGTTGTGTATGAAATCTTGTTTATCTTTCCGTGCACTATGTTTCACTTCTTTATCTAACAAGGTGTACCTTTGTTTGACTTTTTCATATACAGATGTGTCTTTTGTAGATAAAAGGGATAATTTGGCCTGTTTTCTTTCCTGAATTTTTATCCAAGTGTTTTCACTCAGCCATTGTTTCTTCTTTCTTTGCATGTAACCAACTGTGCTGACTGCGGCTTCCTTGAAGGTGTCTCTAAAGAAGCTCCATTTTTGTTCTATGCTGTATTCAACATTATTTTTGTTAGTTAAGGTTTGTACGTAGTTGTTTTGTATCCCAGAGTTAAATGTGATTTGATGTTGGTTTGACAACAGAGACTGTGAATCTATTTTCTTGCTTGTAAATGTTTTATGTAGTTTCTTGAGCTTCATCTTTAGTTTGGCTATGCAGAGGTTGTGATCGCTGCCAACGTCTGCTCCTCGATATGCTCTGACATCCCGAACTGACGAGCGGAATTTGGTATTTATGCAAAAGTGGTCTATCTGATTTTTAGTGTGATTGTCAGGGGAAATCCAGGTCGATTTATGAATATCTTTATGTGGGAAGGTGGTATTTGCTATTAACAGATTAGCAATTTCACATAACTCGAGTAGTCTTTCGCCATTCTGGTTCATGCTCCCTATACCATGCGCTCCCATGTATCTTTCAACACCGCTGTTGTCATCTCCAACCTTGGCGTTGAAATCGCCCATCACAACAGTGATGTCGTGTTTAGGTGTTTTGTTGATGGTGTCAATTAATACGTTATAGAAGGTGTCTTTGTTGAAGTCAGTATCATCATTTGTAGGTGCATAGCATTGTATGACTGATAGTTTGAAATACCTGGATTGGAAGCGTGCTGCTATAATTCTTTCATTGACCGGTTCCCAGCTGACGAGTGATCTTTCTGTTCCACGAAGTAAACCTTCAAGAAACAGAGAGAATATCATTCGTGCTATACAAGAAACATCATGTAACAAGTAAAGTGAAGGACCTTTTTCCACGTCTTTAGGCGTATAGGGCATATAGGGCTAGACCTTTATTTTATATACCAATCGGCACAAGATGGGTGATGTGGTCAGCATCACGCGGGCTGCCTTTACTTCCTGGGACTGTACCTGGTACCCACTCAAGGCTGGGTCGACTTGGTGGCCAAGGTCATTTTGAAAAAAGTCCGGAGTGAACCCACGACCTTCCGATGCGCAGACTAGCGTCTAGCCACTACACCACGGCGGCTCAGGGAATTATGAATAACAGTGGTGAAAATAATGTACGTGTCATTTATATTCATTCATTTCGCTAATGAAAATAAAGTTATTAAATGGTGAACTGTATGGCTCTGTCGTAGACAGACTAAGACAGTGGAGGTTTTATAAAAGGCAAATGTCAAAACACTTGAACGCAACTGCTTGTCACTTCAGTTTATGCCATTGAAAACACAGTTGTTACCTTCCAACTGAAACAATAGCCAGGATATTCGTTATCACGTTTCTTTTCTTACGATTCACGATCTTCTCTGTATATTATCATGCCTTATCTTTCGACAGGTAAACAGCATTACAAGTCTAGGGATAAGCACCGGCAGGAACAACAAAGTCAACATTTTGAGAGTATGCATATTTTCTGCAACATACGGATAGATCATAGCCAAACTTTAGGTACACTAAAGTTTGACCATGGATCGATCGATGAATGGGACACTAGAACAGAAAATACCTGCATGTGAAATGCTCTAGTGTGTCTCTCTTATTTTCGGACGTTCTAAGGCTGTATCCGTGTTTGTCTTATTTCAGGACATTCTGAGGCTCTAGTTGTGTTTGTCTTATTTCAGGATGTACTGAGGCTCTAGCCGTGTTTGTCTTATTTCAGGATGTACTGAGGCTCCAGCCGTGTTTGTCTTATTTCAGGATGGACTGAGGCTCTAGCCGTGTTTGTCTTTTTTCAGGATGTACTGAGGTTCTGGATGGACAGAGGTGTGGACGGGGTCAGGGTTGACGCCATTGAAAAGCTGTACGAGGTTGAGAACGTGTCATTGGATGAGCCAGTGTCTGGTCAGAACGTCACACCGGTACGTTAGCTTCGTTGTCATTAGATGAGCAAGTGTCTGGTCAGAACGTCACGCCGGTACGTTAGCTTGGTTGTCATTAGAATAGCCAGTGTCTTGTCAGAACGTCACACCGGTACGTTAGCTTCCTTGTCATTGGATGAGCAAGTGTCTGGTCAGAACGTCACACCGGTACGTTAGCTTTGTTGAGGTTCAGTTAACTCCATAAAGAAAAACACTCTGTGCCGCCTTCGTAGTGAAGGCTGGCTACGAAGCTTCCACTGCCACTTTTGTTTCCTTGCCCAAAAGTACGCAGTATTTGCACCTCATTGTTAGGTGCCATTTTTCAGTAGTACTGTGATCCTTTTTAAGACACTCTAGGGTAGCAGCAAGGCGTTGTTGTTGTTGTTTTTTTTTTTTTTCCGACAAAAATCTCTGCTGCCAGCTACGGGAAAGTTGTGTGCCCAGGCCTCTGTCTCTTCCACAGAGTCACTTTCGTATCTCTGTCCGGAAGCCAGGAGCACTGCAATTTTCTAAACCACTAACCAAGAAATCGAAACCCAGTTGAGGACAAGTTTTACATTGTGAAACGATTTCGTTTACCTGCAAGCCATAGCGCAGAACCTCTTTACAGTAGCACCCATTTTTTTTTTTAAATATCCAGACACCATGAGATGTTAACCCTTTGGCTCAGTACTATGGATATCGCAAGTGAACCCGGACCACAAAGAGTTTGTCACCCGGTCACCGCGCAGTCCGGTTTAGCCAACTATGCTTTAGAGCCGGGTATCACCCTATTAAACAGTCAAATAAATAAATATAAATACTTCCTAACCATCGTCATTTCTTTCGTCTTACGTGAATGGTTGTATCTGTGTAGCTGTTTCACATCTTTAACAATCGATGACTTATAAAGCTGGCTTTCATGACACAGTAATGTACACCGATGTTTATAGGTAAAAAAAGATCTGGCTGAGTTTTTTTTTTTTTTTTAAGCTTAAGTGAAGTAATAGATCATGGTAGAACAAAATAGTGCAGCAGCTTAATTAAAGTGTGATTATCAATTGGGAGTGCGGTAGGTTAAAAATGGACAAACGTCGGATGAGTGGACATCGAACATCAACACTTCAACATTACAGGTACTCACGTGGCTTTACTATCCGGGATATACTAATGGTGTCACCAACTGGACAGAGAAGGCTAACCAGAGAGATGAGTGGACGCGGGTGATATCTACAGTAATGAACCTCAAACTGTAGGACGCTGAAGAAGAAGTTGAATATCTGAGGTTAGTGACTGCGGTTAACAATGTCATGATCCTCGAGTACTAAGGTTCGTGGACGGTTTAAAAACATCCTGGTTTGGGGGAATTGCACCCTGGGAGGATTGAGACTTGGCCACGTTTGTTGCCAAAGACAACAGTGTAGACTGTAACCAACTGTCGCTGTGTAGGTGGCAGATACATGTATTATTATTATTATTATTATTATTATTATTATTATTATTATTATTATTATTATTATCAGTCATATTTTATGTATAAATGATTAGGTGAGCAGACCAGGAGCATTTTTTGATGTATAAACGGAACATCATGATGCTGACGATGGATGATGATACTGAGATCTTGATGGATGATGATTGTGATGGTAAGGATGATGATATTGTTGGAATGTTGATTGTTGAAGATGATGATAGTAAGGATACAGACTGAAGTTACTAAAAATGATGAATATACTGATGGAGATTATGAAATAAATGATGGTGATAGTGGCGGTAGTGCTGGTGGTTATGATGATGATGAATATTGTGATTTTAATGAGGATGACTGATAATGAAGACTGATGAAAGTGATAACGATGCTAATATTGGTACATTAATTTAATGTTTATTACTATTGCTGATATTTCTGCTGTTGTTGCTGCTGCTGGTTGCTACTGCTGCTGCTGGTGGATGATGTTGGCGCTATGCACCATCATTGATTCAACAGTTCCAGTATGAGTATTTAGACCACATCTACACCTCCAACCTGCCAGAGACCATCCCAACCGTAGCCGCCTGGTACGAGGTCTTGCAGGAATACGCGAAGAAGGATGGCAAGGACAGGTAGGTGTGACAGTCCCGATTTGATGAAATCATTAATCATTAGGATAGTCTGTGTTCAGAGAGAGATGAAGGTTGATAACTCAACACGTAATGAAAACGTTCAGCGAGAGATGAAGGTTGATAACTCAACACGTAATGAAAACGTTCAGCGAGAGATGAAGGTTGATAACTCAACACGTAATGAAAACGTTCAGCGAGAGATGAAGGTTAGTAACTCAACCAGTGACGAAAACGTTCATCAAAGATGAAGGTTAGTAACTCAACCAGTGACAAAAACGTTCATCGAAAGATGAAGGTTAGTAACTCAACCAGTGACGAAAACGTTCATCGAAAGATGAAGGTTAGTAACTCAACCAGTGACGAAAACGTTCATCGAAAGATGAAGGTTAGTAACTCAACCAGTGACGAAAACGTTCATCGAAAGATGAAGGTTAGTAACTCAACCAGTGACGAAACGTTCATCGAAAGATGAAGGTTAGTAACTCAACCAGTGACGAAAACGTTCAGCGACAGATGAAGGTAGTAACTCAACCAGTGACGAGAACTTCAGCGAGAGATAAAGGTTAGTACCTCAACCAGTGACGAGAACTTCAGCAAGAGATGAAGGTAGTAACTCAACCAATGACGAAAACGTTCAGCAAGAGATGAAGATAGTAACTCAACCAGTTACGAGAACTTCAGCGAGAGATGAAGGTTAGTACCTTAACCAGTGACGAGAATTTCAGCGAGAGATGAAGGTTAGTACCTCAACCAGTGACGAGAACTTCAACGAGAGATGAAGGTTAGTACCTCAACCAGTGACGAAAACGTTCAGCGAGAGATGAAGGTTAGTAACTCAACCAGTGACGAAAACGTTCAGCGAGAGATAAAGGTTAGTAACTCAACCAGTGCCGAAAACTTCAGCGAGAGATGAAGGTTGGTAACTCAACCAGTGACGAAAACTTCAGCGAGAGATGAAGGTTGGTAACTCAACCAGTGACGAGAACTTCAACGAGAAATGAAGGTTAGTACCTCAACCAGTGACGAAAACTTCAGAGAGATATGAAGGTTAGTAACTCAACCAGTGACGAAAACGTTCAGCTAGAAATTTGATGACATCATTCATCATTAGAATAGTCTGTGTGCGACAGTCCCGGTTTGATGAAATCATTTAGACAGTCTCGGGTGATAGTCTGTGTGTGACAGTCCCGGTTTGATGAAATCATTTAGACAGTCTCGGGTGATAGTCTGTGTGTGACAGTCCCGGTTTGATGAAATCATTTAGACAGTCTCGGGTGATAGTCTGTGTGTGACAGTCCCGCTTTGATGACATCATTTAGACAGTCTCGGGTGATAGTCTGTGTGTGACAGTCCCGGTTTGATGAAATCATTTAGACAGTCTCGGGTGATAGTCTGTGTGTGACAGTCCCGGTTTGATGAAATCATTTAGACAGTCTCGGGTGAAAGTCTGTGTGTGACAGTCCCGCTTTGATGACATCATTTAGACAGTCACAAGGTGATAGTCTGTGTGTGACAGTCCCGCTTTGATGACATCATTTAGACAGTCTCGGGTGATAGTATGTGTGTGACAGTCCCGGTTTGATGACATCATTTAGACAGTCACAAGGTGATAGTCTGTGTGTGACAGTCCCGGTTTGATGAAATCATTTAGACAGTCTCGGGTGAAAGTCTGTGTGTGACAGTCCCGCTTTGATGACATCATTTAGACAGTCACAAGGTGATAGTCTGTGTGTGACAGTCCCGCTTTGATGACATCATTTAGACAGTCTCGGGTGATAGTCTGTGTGTGACAGTCCCGCTTTGATGACATCATTTAGACAGTCACAAGGTGATAGTCTGTGTGTGACAGTCCCGCTTTGATGACATCATTTAGACAGTCTCGGGTGAAAGTCTGTGTGTGACAGTCCCGCTTTGATGACATCATTTAGACAGTCACAAGGTGATAGTCTGTGTGTGACAGTCCCGCTTTGATGACATCATTTAGACAGTCTCGGGTGATAGTCTGTGTGTGACAGTCCCGGTTTGATGACATCATTTAGACAGTCACAAGGTGATAGTCTGTGTGTGACAGTCCCGATTTGATGAAATCATTTAGACAGTCTCGGGTGAAAGTCTGTGTGTGACAGTCCCGCTTTGATGACATCATTTAGACAGTCACAAGGTGATAGTCTGTGTGTGACAGTCCCGCTTTGATGACATCATTTAGACAGTCTCGGGTGATAGTCTGTGTGTGACAGTCCCGCTTTGATGACATCATTTAAACAGTCTCGGGTGATAGTCTGTGTGTGACAGTCCCGCTTTGATGACATCATTTAGACATTATCGCTGTGATAGTCTGGGTGTGACAGTCCCGCTTTGATGAAATCATTTAGGCAGTCTCCGGTGATTGTGTGTGACAGTCCCGCTTTGATGAAATCATTTAGACAGTCACAAGGTGATAGTCTGTGTGTGACAGTCCCGCTTTGATGAAATCATTTAGACAGTCACAAGGTGATAGTCTGTGTGTGACAGTCCCGCTTCGATGAAATCATTTAGACAGTCACAAGGTGATAGTCTTGGTGTGACACTCCCGCTTTAAGGGAAACTCCGAAATTCGTACAAACAGCAAATTGTTCTTTTGATGTGGCAGATTGTTTTATTCCAAAAGTATTGGTGCTACTGTTCCCTTTGAGTAAACAAGGCAGACCTTGTATACTGTATGTTCAACACCTGGTCTCTAAAATAATGCCAACGTTTGTGGCTCTGGAGATGATAAATTTCATCCCTGGCCTTAACTGTCAGTGATTCACATGCCTCTCAACTTAATATAACGCTTCGTTAGGGAATAACGAAAAAGTCTGAAAGTTTTAGACACCAAGTCCTTGCCAAGTTCTCTACTTCCACCACTGACCTTTGAAGCCTACAGGAGACTGTTGTGGTATTTTCAGTGGCCGTCTGAACAGCAAAGTCACCGACGAACATTTGTTCTTTGTATACGTCGTTCAGGCAGGCTGTTTGAAAACTTCCTAGAGTGTCTTTCACAAATTTTGCCTTTACACCACAACATTTATCTCGAAAACTCTTTTACGGACGAATGTTTACATGTGATCTTAGATTCATCATGACCTTCGATTTTATAATTTACATTATACCTGCTTTCTCCCTAATAAGCATGTCGTACAAGGCGATTATTTAAGGGAGTTTCCCTCAAAGTCGGGTTGCATCTGCATGAGAGTCGAGCAACCAACATTTTGCATATAATTAGGCCAAATTTCTAAAATGATGTGCTCGCAAAAGTCGAGTTCAGTTAAGTGACCACAGTCCAGAAGTGGCCAAACAATCTGAGATTTCTTCCGGAGGTATTCAGCTGCTGAACACCAAGAAGAAGAAGCAGTTTTAATAGGTAATGATACAGGTACTAGTTGGTTACTGCTCGCTAAACGATCGACGCTCCCCAACTATTGCCCAAATCAATGCAAAGCGACCTGCTGTCATTTAATTTACAGTGAAATTTAACAGTGTAGTTCCTAGTTATGCGTCGATTCGCAACCCCTAAGCCACAAACTCTAGCATGTGCAGTTATCTAGTCATTGAATGGTGTAATGAGACTGGATCATCTACGTGTATGTTACAGGTATATGGTGGTTGAGTTATACGCTAAACCGGCCGTGAGGAATACACTCTATGAAACTGGCGCCAACCCGTTCAACTTTGACCTGATAGATTTGACCCCAAACCCTACTGGCTACGAGATAAGAGACCAGATTCTCAACGAGTACGATAATCTACCCAGCGGGAAATGGCCAAATTTTGTGGTAAATGATTGTTTGTGGTTTGAAGAAGAACAGCTAAGTTATCACAACACTCGGATATTTCCATAAAGCTCTGTTCTTATGTTCAAAAACGACTTTCAGACCCAGGTCGACCCAGCTATGAGTGGGCACCAAGTCAGTCCTGGAAAGTAAAGGCGGCCTAGGTGCTGTTGTCCACATAAACACTCAAGCGCCGATTGGTCTATAAAAAAATGTCTAGCCCTATATGCCTTATATGCCTGATGGTGTGGAAAAGACTCGGTTACTTATTACTTTATTTAGCTTCAACAGTCAGTGTACAGTCTTCTTCTTTCAGACATGTTCTATCTTCTGAAGTCCTCTACACCCATTTCAAGTAGAAATAATGTACTCCACTCAGATCTAATGTAGGAATGATGTACTCCACTCATATCTAATGAAGGAATGATGTATTCCACTCATATCTAATGTAGGAATGATGTATTCCACTCATATCTAATGTAGGAATGATGTATTCCACTCATATCTAATGTAGGAATGATGTATTCCACTCAGATCTAATGTAGGAATGATGTATTCCACTCAGATCTAATGTAGGAATGATGTACTCCACTCATATCTAATGTAGGAATGATGTATTCCACTCAGATCTAATTTAGGAATGATGTATTCCACTCATATCTAATGTAGGAATTATGTATTCCCCACAAGGGTAACGTAGAAAGGATGTTTTCCACAGAAGGGTAACGTAGCAAAGATGTTCTCTAAATAAATGTAACGTAGCAAAAATTTTCTCTGGTCAGGGGTAAAGCAGCAAGGATGTTCTCCGCACAAATGTAACGTAGCAAGGATGTGCTCTACACAAGTGTAACGTAGCAAGCATGTTCTCCGCACAAATGTAACTTAGCATGGATGTTTTCTACACAGGTGTTACGTAGCAAGAATGCTCTCCGCATAAATGTAACGTAGCAAGAATGTTCTTTGCATGAGTGTAACGTAGCAAGGATGTTCTCTACACAAGTGTAACGTAGCAGGGATGTTCTCTACACAAGTGTAACGTAGCAAGGATGTTCTCTACACAAGTATAACGTAGCAAGGATGTTCTCTACACAAATGTAACGTAGCAATGATGTTCTCTACACAAGTGTAACGTAGCAAGGGTGTTCTCTACACAAGTGTAACGTAGCAAGGATGTTCTCTACACAAGTGTAACGTAGCAAGGGTGTTCTCTACACAAGTGTAACGTAGCAAGGATGTTCTCTACACAAGTGTAACGTAGCAAGGATGTTCTCTACACAAGTGTAACGTAGCAATGATGTTCTCTACACAAGTGTAACGTAGCAAGGATGTTCTCTACACAAGTGTAACGTAGCAAGGATGTTCTCTACACAAGTGTAACGTAGCAAGGATGTTCTCTACACAAGTGTAATGTAGCAAGGATGTTCTCTACACAAGTGTAACGTAGCAAGGATGTTCAGCACACAAGGGTAACGTAGCAAGGATGTTCAGCACACATGGGTAACGTAGCAAGGATGTTCAGCACACATGGGTAACGTAGCAAGGATGTTCAGCACACAAGGGTAACGTAGCAAGGATGTTCAGCACACAAGGGTAACGTAGCAAGGATGTTCAGCACACAAGGGTAAGGTTAAAAAGTCCAGTTTTCAATAAAATAAACAATCGATGTCCCCAGCTGGGAAACCACGACCGACGTCGTGTGAGCCACAAGTTTGGACCCCAGTATGTGGATGTCTACAACATGTTGCTGCTGACGCTGTGGGGAACCCCCACCACCTACTATGGGGAGGAGATAGGGATGCTCGAGGGGATTATCTCTTGGGAACAGACAGTAGATCCCTGGGGTCGGAACTATGGAAAGGTTAGTCATTTGTTTGTTTATGGTGAGTTTGCTACATCATACAGTGTGGTTAACAACATCGAAAACATTATGATTCTGGTTTGGGGGAGGGGGGGGGGGCATGTTTAAGAATGTGAGGGGAGGGAAACTTCATGCATTCTTCGCTTCCAAGATCACACGAGAAGAGCACTGTCTTGATCTTTTCTCCGCGGGTATGAACAGGCGGACAGACTGGGTGGCTCGGTACAGCTTGGTCGAATATGGATGTCCGATATAAGGCAGATGTGTTTGAGACCTTACATGAGCACGAGTACAATACGGAAAAGTAAATTAGTCATCACAGTCTGGTGAGAGTGACGAGGCGACCAGTGACGAGGCGACCAGTGACGACGGGTTCTGATCGATACTCGGCGCTGTGAAGAACTCCAGTCGAGGGTTTTTCAAGCGGTTGCCGCATCAGGCATATAGTGCTAGATCTGTATTTTTACAGACTAATAGGCATTCAATGAGTCATGGGTTCAACATCATACTGGGCACCTTTACTTCCTACAACACTGACTACTACCCATTTTAGGCTGGGTCGACTTAGAGGTCAAAGTCAATTTGAAAAAAAAAAATTATTTTGGAATGCGGATTTGAAATCAAGACTTTGGGGGTGTCAAGCAATTGTCTAATCACTAATGACTTTGGGGGTGTCAAGCAATTGTCTAATCACTAATGACTTTGGGGGCGTCATTCGATTCTCTAATCACTAATGACTTTGGGGGCGTCAGGCGATTCTCTAATCACTAATGACTTTGGGGGCGTCAGGCGATTGTCTAATCACTAAGACTTTGGGGGCGTCAGGCGATTGTCTAATCAGTAATGAGCTTCGGGGGTGTAAGGCGATTGTCTAATCACTAATGACCCCAGGGATGTCAGGCGATTCTCTAATCACTAATGACTTTGGGGGCGTCAGTCGATTCTCTAATCACTAATGACTTTGGGGGCGTCAGGCGATTGTCTATGCGCTAATGACACTCGTAGTGTTGGACGATTGCCTAGTTACTTATGACTCAGGGTGTCAATTGAATGTCTAGTCACTAACGACTTTAGGGTTGTCAGGCGATTGTCTAGTCACAATGACTTTGGGGGAAGTGGGGTGTCAGGCGATTGCCTGACGCTAATGACTTTGTGGTGTCAGGCTATTGTCTAGTCAGTAATGACCTTCAGGGTGTCAGGCGATTCTCTAATCCCTAATGACTTTGGGGTGTTAGACGATTGCCTATTTGCTTATGACTCGATGTATCATTTGATTGTCTAGTCACTAACGACTTTAGGGTTGTCGGGCGATTGTCTAGTCACTAATTACTTTGGGGGAAAAGGGGGGAGGGGTGTCAGGCAATTGCCTAAGCGCTGATGACTTTGGGAGTGTCAGGCGTTTGCCTGGGTGCCTATGACTTTTGGAATGTCAAATGATTCCCTAGGCGCTAATGAATTTTTGCCTGTCAGGTGATTGTCTAAGAGCTAAGAACTTTGGGGTTTTTACTCAAGAGAATAATCGCTAAGAACTTTGGGGTTGTTAGGTGATTGTCTAGGCACTAATGACTTTGGGGATATCAAGCAATTGCCTAGGCACTAATAACTTTGGCGATATCAAGCAATTGCCTAGGCACTAATGACTTTGGGGATATCAAGCAATTGCCTAGGCATTAATGCGGTCATCGCCGTAACGGTCACTTTTACTCTCTAGAAAATTATCTCGTATCCATTTTAGGCTGGGTCAAAGCCTAAATCAATGTCGACAACAACATCAAAACCACTTCGCTGCGAATTTGAACTTATGACCTCAGGTTCTTTAGAGGAGCATCTGCCCACCACGACATGAAGACTTCCATTAACATTTGCGTTATAGGGTCGGGTGGCATTATGGCTAGCGTTCGTGCCTACCAAGGTGACGGTTCGGGGTCGGACCATTCAAAGGCAGGCCTCTTTGTTACAACTATTACATTTATGATTTTTTCTTTTTACATAGTATACTGGGCTTCTTGTAGTGTTTACTGTTTCCAGGAAATTGCAAGAGTTATAGTTTAGTGGCCCCAAAAAATGTGTTCGAGGAGTATAAGGGATGAAAGTGGGGGGGGGGGGGGGGGGGGGGGGGGCACCTCCTTCCCCTGAACAAACATGTCGTAAAGACGATAGTTTCTCTGTTTCCCCAGGACGAATTCGAAAATTTTTCCCGAGACCCAGAGCGGACTCCCATGCAGTGGAACGGGGGATATCAAGCTGGGTTCACCACAGGGAACTCAACCTGGCTACCTTTAGGAGAGGACTGGCAGACTGTCAACGTTCAGGTATAGACAAATACATCTTTCTGTCTGTAACACTGTACTTGAAAGATAATCTACTATTACTCCTACTGTACTGCTGCTACTAGTAGTATAAGTAGTAGTAGTAGTAGCAGCAGCAGCAGCAGCAGCAGCAGCAGCAGCAGTAGTAGTAGTAGTAGTATTAACATCAGCAGCAGTAGCAGTAACCAGTAACATCAGTAGTAGTAGTAGCAACATCAGCAGCGCCAACAGTACTTACTGTGAGTGTTTCTGTTGTGTTTATTTTCGTTGCAAAGTTGAGGTCGGGAGGATCAACCTCCTTGGGGTTATCTCATATGGTTCGGTCTCTCTTCCCCCCCCCCCCCCCCCCCCCCCCCCCTGGAAAGGCTAACCACTTGCACTTAACGAGTACCATTTTAACAAAGATCTCAGGCGATCGTCACAGGGGCTAGGAAATTCGTGCTTTGTGCGTCAATCTCAGCAGGCAGCTAGCCGTTCTGCGGAGAGAGTACAGGAAGTACATTTGAAGGGTCCTTAAACTGTATTTAGACAGAAAACAGTTAAAAGTTGAAACAGGTGACTATATTAAGTTATCAATCGACGTCACTGCTCATGTGGACATTGCCATATGTCTTCAATGCTTCCATGCAGCTGCCATCTTCAAGAATCTCTGCCGACGGTCCCATCTCGAAGTTCGCTACATTGTCGAAGACATCACCTATGTAATGGGGTGAATTCACAGGGAAATCCCAGAGAGTTCCCTATTGAGGGGACAAGGTCAGAGAGCCAGTGAAACAAGAGAAAAGGAAGAAAAGCATGTCTCGATTATCCCGTGGTGTGTGAACAGGAGTACGGGAAAAGAATGAGACTGGAACGGAAGAATTGAACGGAGAGAGTAAGTAGAAGCAGTTGTGCTTTGATCGTGTGAGATGTAGGTGTTTTGCTGGTACGACTGAGGCGAACTTTATTGAACTGGAGGACCAGCTGTTGGAAAGCTCGAGTGCCTGAGGAGAATTGCTTCTGAATGACAACGTCTAGTGTTCTGTGAACATTTGTGTTAGGATGATTCAGATGCGAATACCGGTACGAATGGAACGTTCTGACTGGCAGGTAACTGCAACCATCATTTAACTGTCGTCTTGTCGTGCGAGGCTGTCGTGAGCACGTGGTAACGATTAGGGAGAACTGAAGACATCGACAAAATAACTTATTGGTGTTTCACAAAAAACGATATCAACGTAATCATTGTGTCCTGAATGGTAGTTCATGTGTCTAGACCTTACATATTGTTTGAGGCACGCAAAAGATCAAACAAGTAGAACGAATCAACATCAGCAACATTACACACACCAACATCGTTACAACCAACGTGTCAGTTATAGTTAACTCCGAAACTCTTTGAATCACTATCATCATGCTGCAGACTGCTATCCTGAATGGAAATTTAAAAAATTGGCAAGGACTATTTCAGCCGTCCTAACTAATGTATCAACGTTTGATATCTCAATGAACTCGTTTTTGGATACGTCTTCAACGGTACAAAGCCAGTTCAGTTAGCAGTTATAATTGGGGCATATTTTGGCCATATTTGCGCTACGAAGGATTCAAAATAATAATAACATGACATATGGTCCCAGAAAAGAGGGGCAGGGACCGATTAACACGAAGATGGACACAAGAATAAAGTGACACGAGGCGGGAAATTTGGCTTGAGACCGAGCTTCTTTCAAGCAGGCCGTGATGAGAGCGACGTTCTGCAAAAAACCTGCTACATGATGATGATGAACGAATCAGAACCTCGCCAAGTATTAATTCCACTGCCAGCAAAGATGTACTTTGTCCAGCATGGGGACGCATATCATTTGTGACACAAAGCTCTACATTGCTGTGCCCACTGTGCCTACTGTCTGAGTCGTGTGGTGAGCCATTTGAACTAGGTGAGAATGTATCTAGCCAAATATGTACCATAAACTCATCACCATCATCCATCGGCAGGTCCTTTACAGAACGTCGCTCTCGTCACGGCACCATTGAACCCCTGAAGGTCTTTTTTTTTTAGCCAATTCTCCAGCTGTTGCGTTGCGCATTTGGATAAAGCTGACTTCACGGCGGCCGGGTGAGGAACTCCTTGATGTCCGGGTACACTCCCAGGGGTAGTCAAAAAATGCTAAATTTCTCCCATATTTACGGTACCTATAATGGAATCAATGCCAAAGGGTTGCGATATCCATAGTACCGAGCCAAAGGGTTTACAACTCATGGTTTCTGAATACTTAAAAAAAAAGGACTTTAATGGTCAATGGATCTTCAGTGTCTTGTATCCACCTTCGCTGAAGTCTTTTAACCCCTTCGTGTACGCTGTTTACGCTGGGTTTGTCCCTGTTATCTACCCCTCTCTCTTTCTCTCTCTACATGCCCCAACCATTGCAGTACATTAACCCTCGTGAAGCCAGTAATGAGTTGATAAATGGTTGCTCACTGAAGAAAATAGGCATCAGAAAAACACATAACTACTGAGACGATTTATTGAAGAGGGTTGGCTAGTAAAGACAATAAAACAAAGAAAATTGAAATATTTTGGTCACTTGAAACGTCATGGAAGTCTAGAGAGAACAATAATGGAGGGGTATATGCCTGGGAAGAGAGGAAGAGGAAGGCCAAGGAGAAGATGGGTGCAGGATGTGGCAGATGATCTCCAGATGGGTGTATCAGACGCAGGACATCTTGCTCATGATAGGAAGGTTTTCCGGAGGGTTGTTATGGCAGCGAGGTTTCGCGAGGGATGAATGAACTGAGACGATTAACTCTGTTGGTAGCCATGACAGCAACGTGACCTTCCTGACTGTAGTCTCAAAACAAAGTGAGTGAAATGCAGTAAATGTCCATGATCTTTAATTATTTCCCTTTAATTATGCTCTTTTGGTCACCTGACCTAAATCAGAATCAAATGGAAAGTGAAGAACTGACCAGCATCCAGGTGTATAAACAACTGGCAGAACTGAGACAGAAACCGGCGTTTCTAACTGGTGCCTTTCAGGTCAGTCTTTGTTGACAACTCATTTCAGCATACCTGTTCCTCATTTGGTTTTTATTTATTCATTCTACAAACAGCTAATTGCCATTGATGTTTGTTTATTCAGTGATTGTTGGAACGTGCCCTACTGATTGTATTGTCGATCATAACTTGCCGTCCTTTTTAGGACGAAATGTTTCGTTGTTTGAAGCCTCACCCTGGCTCTTGCCAGGGGCCGCAATATAGCCAGGCCATATATTTTGCCAATAGGCTGAACGCGGTTTCTGGTACCTCTCCAGGGTGATCCTCATCCACATGGTTGCACTTTATGTTCGGGTGTTTATCGCTTGTGTGATGTCCTAGTGGTGTAGAAAGTCAGTCAGTACTGATTTCATAGCACACCAGACATACCCACTGGAGCTCAGTCACCCGCAACAAATGTCTTAACGTGTAGATAAGAAATGCTCTCCTTACACATTGATTATAAACTCGTTGTTCTCTTCCTTCCATACCCCTCCTCCCGCTTCCCTTTCCCGTTCGGATCCACACCTAATTCCTCTTTCACTCATTCTTACACGTTATTTCATCTACCCTTGTGGCTTCTATCAACATTTGTTCATAAGTACTCTTCAGAACGTCTCAGTTGTCCAGCACATGTGTTCCTGAAGCTATCGTTTTTTGGAAATAGCAAATCTGCTCTTTTATTTCCGCGCACTCCTACATATTCCGTACATTATACCCACGTGTTCCTGTAGCTACCGGACATTATACCCACGTGTTCCTGTAGCTACCGGACATTATACCCACGTGTTCCTGTAGCTACCGGACATTATACCCACGTGTTCCTGTAGCTACCGGACATTATACCCACGTGTTCCTGTAGCTACCGGACATTATACCCACGTGTTCCTGTAGCTACCGGACATTATACCCACGTGTTCCTGTAGCTACCGGACATTATACCCACGTGCTCCTGTAGCTACCGGACATTATACCCACGTGAGTCTCTGTAACGTTGACCTGATGATTCTTGGTATCCACTCATGTCACATTTGTCCACCCTTGAACCATGCCGTAAGATAACTTTAACCGAGAAGTCTCATCACAGATTTCACACCCTCACCGGCCCAGGACTCCAGGTTACATAAGGTTGGTGTCACTTTTTCAGGGCCTTAACTATAACTTTTTGGGAGGTATCTTTACTGTCGGTCTGCCATTTAGATTAAGATTCTTTTTATTACAGAATAGTGTGGTACATTTTTAGGTATCTGCCCAGAGGGGACAAGATGATCGATCGATCGAAGACCCACCGATGCTAGACTACAGGTTACTTCGTGCCCGTTGTGTGGTGCCCCAGTATAATTGTGCGTCTATCTATACCAGTGGTTCCCAACCTTCGTAATGCCGCCACCCTTTAAAACAGCTAATCGTGTTGTGGTGGCCCCCAGCTAATCCAGTTATTTTCGTTCCTACTTCACAATCACTAAATATGTGTTTTCCGATGATCTTAGAGAACCCTTGTAAAGGGGTCGTTTGACCCCTAAAAGGGTTGGGGGCCGACAGGTTGAGAATCGCTGCTCTTTACGGTGGAACGGGGTTTCCCTGAGTTCTACTAATTAGGTTTCCATCATTTTATTCTGCGTGTTTGTATGTATTGAAGTCGGATGGTTGGTATGTTGATTGTTGTAGTTGTTGGTGTAGGTGTTGTTGGTGTAGTTGTTGTTATTGTTGTTGTTGCATAAACTAGAATGACGTGTGTACTTCTCTGAGGTATTATGGCGCCGATGACTGGATGCTATCAAATACTCTCGTTACCAGATTGCTTATGTGGACAACAACATCATCTCGTACATCCGCCAGTGCGACCACGAGAAATATCTGGTCATCTTGAATGTGGGTAAGGAAGAGGCCACTGTGGACCTGTCATCTTACAGCGATGGGGAGCCGACGGCTACCGTTATTGCAGTGACACCAGGTATGGATATTCATCATCATCGTCATCATCATCATCATCGGTTTATCATTATCTAATTTCTCGCCGACTTGAGTCAGCAATCATATTACCCAGAACTACTCAATCTTCACGGAAGGTGTCAGTTCATCTGCCTTGGGAAGGCTAACGCGCTCAACAAATGTCTGTAGAAGTCGTATTTGTTGACCGAAAGGCGCAAATATCGCAGCCATGCTGTTAACATACACAACGCAATTACATTTTCGGATGAACGCAGAGGAAGAAGAAGTTCCTTAAGGTTAATATCTTTTCTATTTTGTTTATGACAAATGTTTCTCTCTCTCTCTCTCTCTCTCTCTCTCTCTCTCTCTCTCTCTCTCTCTCTCTCTCTCTCTCTCTCTCTCTCTCTCTCTCATACTACTTTCAGTTATCATTGTACAAACAATAATTTCAAAATTCAGTTATCATTATACAAACAATAATTTCAACATTCAGTTATCATTATACAAGCTATCATTTCAACATTCAGTTATCATTATACAAACAATAATTTCAACATTCAGTTAACATTATACAAACAATAATGTCAACATTCAGTTATCATTTGACAAACAATAATGTCAACATTCAGTTATCATTTGACAAACAATAATGTCAACATTCAGGTATCATTTGATAAACAATAATGTCAACATTCAGTTATTATTTGACAAACAATAATGTCAACATTCAGTAATCATTTGACAAACAATAATGTCAACATTCAGTAATCATTTGACAAACAATAATGTCAACATTCAGTTATCCTTTGACAAACAATAATGTCAACATTCATCAGGCATTGGACGTGAACGCCTTCAGTCAACACAAGATCTGAAAGTTGTCGCCCTCAAGCCAGGAGACGGTCTTGTCCTGCAGACAGCAGCTTAGATCTCACGAGGCCAAATCGTGTCTATGTGTGGCTCTCAACTTCTCTTTAACTGAGTTAAAGAGAGCTTATTAAAATATATATCCCAGTCGAAGCTGTGTTACTTTTTTATACTTATCATCATTATGATCAACATCGTCATCGACATCATCATTAACATCAACATGATCACACACATCACTACCACCAGACCCATGTCAGTGACAATGAAGACATCAATCAGTGACAATGAAGACACTAGTCAGTGACAATGAAGACACCAGTCAGTGACAATGAATACACCAGTCAGTGACAATAAAGACATCAGTCAGTTACAATGAAGACAACAGTCAGTGACAATAGAGACATCAGTCAGTGACAATAAAGACACCAGTCAGTGACAATAAAGACACTAGTCAGTGATAATGAAGACATCAGTCAGTGACAATAAAAACACCAGTCAGTGACAGTAAAGACACCAGTCAGTGACAAAGACATTAGCAATGGAATATTGTTTCTGAGTTCTTTTTTTTTTCTGGTTTGAGGTTTACACTCTTTCTTTGTATATGTGTTTGAAATATTTATCAGGTTGGCTTAGGTGTTGTGAACGCGCTTTGTAATGCTGGGGTGCTGGGTTCGATCCCAACATCAGGCCTTGTGCCTTTCGTTGGTTTCGACAGTGGTATCGAGAAGCCGATCGTCAATGAAAGCAATGGCACATTACTGGACGTAATCTTGTCAAGAAAACCACAACAGCCAAAAAAATGCTCAGATTGGTTCTGCGACGTCCTGTAAAGGATACGCAACTTACTATTTTGTGTGTCATTGCAGTTTTACGGTACCAGAAAACATTTCACTAACTAATCTTTCCCATTCAGGAGAGCAGACTTTAGGCTAGGTGAAAAAAGTATGAATAAATGTTCACATCTGGACTTATTTATTCATTACATTTCATGACACATGGCGATTACTCTTAACTTCAAGCATTTGGTTTTTTTAGATGCTTGTCTGATGTGGGTATGGGACAGTGAATATGATGATAGTGAATTGTTCGTGTCTGCACCTAGTTGATCTAGGCATGAACCGGAGTTCACTACGACCGACAGATGACAGTGGGACTCATGCCCGACTGAGTGTTTCGCTTGCTTAGTCATCAGTATCGCAAAAACGCTCGACTGAACTGTGGACTGCAATAAAACTAGCTGACGGCTACTAATCGAGCGAGACAGTTATTTTCCAGGACAGATGACCGTAGCTACGTTGTCATAATTCGACCGTTAGACTCTAATATTTGTGTTAGGTGTAGACTACAGTTACCGATAGTCTGTGTTACGATGTGTCGTAGACAGTAGCAGTAATGTTGTGTTTTACGGTGTCCCAGAGACAGTTTTTGTGTGTAGCTTGTTACGCTGGCAGCTGGTTTGGTATTATCCTCCGTCTAATGGCTAAGGGTAATTTGTATTGGTCATTGTGATTTGATCTGTTCTCGCTCACTTTGCCGGGCACCCGGCAGATACCGCTAGATCCTGGTGTTGAGTTCAGTGGCGGAGGGAAGAGCTGTACGGAAACGGCGCAGGTTTGGACCTAGTACTATCCATAGTGCGAGGAGTGAGAGGTGATTTGTAAAGCCCTCGTGTGCTTTGTTTCGGATAGGGGTGCCCACGAGTTCTAAGGTTAACTGCGTTATGTTTATTTTGTTCTTTGCATTAAAGATTGTTCTGTGCTCTGTGTGTATCTGGGTTTAGTGTGTGAAGAATTGATTTATCTGTCGCAGGCCTAAAAGACAAGCCATTTGCCATTTCAGTTGATATAGGGTCTCTGATAACTTTCAATAATTATACATAATTGCCATCAAGCAGATTTGTAATAGGACTATAGTCTAGATTAATCACTTGAATCGCACCGGATAAATATTACATGGCTCAGTCTCTCTCTTATCGAGACAGACAACAAACTAGGGACATGCCACAAACTGGAGATAAAACACAAACTGAAACAGACCAAAAACTGAAGACAGGCCATAAACTGGAGACAGACCACAAACTGGAGAGAAAACACAAACTGAAGAAAAAACACAAACTGGAGATAGACCACAAACCTGAGACAGACAACAAACTAAAGGCAGACCAGAAACTGGAGAGAAAACACAAACTGAAGACAGACCACAAACTGGAGAAAAAACACAAACTGGAGACAGACTACAAACTAAAGACAGACCATAGACTAAAGATAGACCACAAAATGAAGAGAGACCACAAACTGGAGACAGACCACAAACTGGACACAGACAACAAACTGGAGACAGACCACAAACTGGAGACAGACCACAAACTAAAGACAGACAACAAACTGTAAACAGACCACACACTGGAGACAGACCAAACTGGAGACAGACCACACACAGGAGACAGACCACAAACTAAAGACAGACCACAAACTGGAGACAGACCACAAACTGGAGACAGACCCCAAACTGGAGACAGACCATAGACTGGGGACAGACGACAAACTGAAGAGAAAACACAAACTGGAAAAAGACCACGAACTGAAGACAGACCACAAACTTGAGAGAAAACACAAACTGTAGACAGACCACAAACTGCAGGAGACCACAAACTGGAGACAGACTACAAACTGGAGACAGAACACACACTGGAGACAGACCACACACTGGAGACAGACCACACACTGGAGACAGACCACACACTGGAGACAGACCACAAACTAAAGACAGACCACAAAATGGAGACAGACCACAAAATGGAGACGGATCGCAAACTAAAGACAGACCACAAACTAAAGACAGACCACAAACTGGAGACAGACCACACACTGGAGACAGACCACAAACTGGAGACAGACAACACACTGGAGACAGACCACACACTGGAGACAGACCACACACTGGAGACAGACCACACACACTGGAAACAGACCACAAACTGGAGACAGACCACAAACTTAATAAAAACACAAACTGAAGAGAAAACTCAAATTGGAGATAGACCACACACTGGAGACAGACCACACACTGGAGACAGACCACACACTGGAGACAGACCACAAACTGGAGACAGACCACAAATTAAAGACAGACCACACACTGGGGACAGACCACAAACTGGAGACAGACCACACACTGGAGACAGATCACAAACTGGAGACAGACCACACACTGGAGACAGAAACTGGAGACAGACCACAAACTGGAGACAGTCCACGAAATGGAGACAGACCACAAACTGGAGGCAGACCACACACTGGAGACAGACCACAAACTGGAGACAGACCACAAACTGGAGACAGTCCACGAAATGGAGACAGACCACATACTGGAGGCAGACCACACACTGGAGACAGACCACAAACTGGAGACAGACCACAAACTGGATAAAAACACAAACTGTAGAGAAAACTCAAATTAGAGATATGCCACAAGCTGGAGACATACTAAACACTAGAAACATACCACAAACTTGAGACAGACCACACACTGGATAAAAATACAAACTGTAAAGAAAACACAAACTGTAGACAGAAAACAAAATGGATACATACCACAAACTGGAGACAGACAACAAACTGGATAAAAATACAAACTGTAGAGAAAACACAAATTATAGACAGACCACAAACTTTAGACAGACCACAAACTTTAGAAAAAACACAAACTGGAGACAAAACTCAAATGACTGGAGACAAAACTCAAATGACTGGAGACAAACTCAAATGACTGGAGACAAAACTCAAATGAATGGAGACAAAACTCAAATGACTGAAGACAAAACTCAAATGACTGGAGACAAAACTCAAATGACTGGAGACAAAACAGACACTAGAGAGAAAACAATCTTCACAGATAGATCTAGTGCTATATGCCAAATACGTTCGATGATGTCGAAAAGGTCCTTTTAACTGTTTATTGGCTGAGAGTTGTCTCAAGGTAACAACGCTGCATCTGGCACAGTTCACATCATAAAACAATCTACCAGTGACGCTTGGATAAGGAATAGGTTCTTGCTGTCTGCAGCCACACGCCGAAACATAGCTGAATCATCCCAAATACAAGTACACAAATATGATAAGAAATGTGTTCTCTTGTATAGCTTACGGTGGTGACAAGGCTACAACAGTACACAAAAAGTAGATAGACCGACAGCAGTCAAACAGCCAGACGGGAGAACATGTAGCAGGTCCTTTGCAGAACGTCGCTCTTATCACAGTCTGCCAGTCTCTTGCCAGTTCTCCCGCCTCATGCACTTTTACACTCAAGGAGTCACTTATATCTTGTGCCCATCTTCATGTCGGTCGGCCCCTGCCCCTCCTTCCTGGTACCATGCCTTCTGCTATAATTTTTTTTTATCCGTCGTGGCGCTTGATATGACCAAAATATTTCAGCTTCTGAGAAAGAATGCTGTTTATAAGCCAATCTTCCTTGATGTTCAGATCTTTTAAGATGTCAATATTTCTCATCTTCTTTGTCCAAGATATAAATATATATATATATATATATATATATATATATATATATATATATATATATATATATATATATATATATATATATATATATATATATATATATATATATATATATATATATATATATATATATATATATATATATATATATATATATATATATATATATATATATAGAGAGAGAGAGAGAGAGAGAGAGAGAGAGAGAAAGAGGCAGACAGACAGACAGACAGACAGACAGACAGACAGACAGACAGACAGACAGACAGACAGACAGACAGACAGACAGACAGACAGACAGACAGACAGACAGACAGACAGACAGACAGACAGACAGACAGACAGACAGACAGACAGACACAGACAGACAGACACAGACAGACAGACACAGACAGACAGACACAGACAGACAGACACAGACAGACAGACAGACAGACAGACAGACAGACAGACAGACAGACAGACAGACAGACAGACAGACAGACAGACAGACAGACAGACAGACAGACAGACAGACAGACAGACAGACAGACAGACAGACAGACAGACAGACAGACAGACAGACAGACAGGGGATAATTAGACAGGCAGTGTGGCAGACTAGGCAAACCAGACAGACAATAAGATACTGCTGTGAAGCCAGGCTTTTTGTAACACCACACACATCCTTTAGAGACAGCGAAAAACACACAATGTTATAGGCTCTTGAGAACCACGTGAGAAAAAAAGTATGGGTGGTAACTGTTCCAGTGAATAACAACGAAGAAACTTTATTTTTAAATAGTTATATATTGGGCACGCAGGCCTGTCTTACATTCGACTCTTCCAAACATTTTCACACAAAAGGACTGAAAAGCAGATTTAGAACAGTCCTTTTTTTTAAACGATCAGTCATCTTCAAATGAAGCATTTTTCTTTAAAGAAAATAAGCCTTAGTAGCCATGTTTACGATCGATTACTTCGTCAGCTAAAGCTTTCTTCTACATGATGGAGCTAGTCTCACCCAACCTTCCTTAATAGCCGATTACGGCATGTATTCTACCTTACACTGTAACTGCTTTTCACTCCCCTTACTCACCACAGTTACATCTGGGACCCCAGGTTAATTGCATTGTTTAAATATTGTTAGATTGACGGTTGTTAGATAGCGATAATACACAACAATAATTTCTCCAGGCGTGGTTAGTAATGAACAGGCTAACGGATTGGCTGGATCTGCACCACTGGGTGGTGAACTGGTGCATGACAAGGCAGATGTGGTCAGGGCCCTTTGGAGCCAAGTAACGAAGTCAGAAGAGGAACAAGATTATTATGGCATTGAGAGAATGATACACCTGGGTGTAACCAGAGTGTCTGGCCGGCTCACCACACTCAGAGAAAAGGCAAAACAAATATGTAACCAGATTACTACCGGTACCAGTAATAGTGGAACTCTGTGCTGGCTGCTGAAGATGGGAACGAAGCGCATATGGGAATGCCCCCAGTGGTGTGATGTTAGTTCTTGACTCAACACAATAATAATGCTGACGCAAAGACCTTCGAAGGACACATGGCCGAATTCTTACAGATAAGACACGAGGAAAACGGTAATGTTAAAACAGATTGCAGTACTGGAGCCAAAACGATCTAAGTTAAAGACTTATCTATAAACAATTCACAAGGATTTGTTTAAGTTAGAGCGAAACATGAAGAGACTAAAACTAATTTGTTCTGTTCAAGTAGCTTTAATTCTATCGTTGTTACTGGGCATCGCCTGGGCACTAGAGGCTCCGGGTGAGGATGAAAGCACTGACCAGCTGGAGTGGTGGAAGAAGGTCATTGTCTACCAGATCTATCCAAGGTCGTACAAGGACACGGATGGCGATGGGGTTGGGGATCTCAAGGGTAAGTATTTTATTGTTGTCTTCTTCTTATTGTTAATCGTTTTTGTTCATTGTTGGGTTCTTTGCCTGTTTGTCTTTCTTTGAGTGTATTCCAGTTTGTGCCCTTATGTTATTATTGTTCAACCCTACCAGGACCGTACAACGAGCGACCAACACCTGGTGACACAAAGTGCTACCTTTCGGATGAGGATCACCCGTTAACACAAGTCCCAGGAACTCCGGTCAACCCATTGAGTGGGTTATATTACACCCCCCCCCCTCCCACAACTGCCTGAGTGGGGCTTTAAAGTAAAGAATTAAAATTGCCTCCGATAATGGGACGATATGAATATTGTGGGGCTCTACTACACATGACTTCAGGTTCCAACAGGCTGGGGTGGCCTTTACGGTTGCCCTAAATATTTTTTCTCTGGAGGTTGAAAGGGGTATCTGGGGTCTACCTTGGTGGTCTGCCATTAGGACTGGCATTTTGTTTTAATCTCAGGGTGGGAAACATTCAGGTAGCAGCCACAAGAGGACAAACCGATCAGTCTGTAAACCGAATTTACCGCTAATTTTTTTTTTTTTTTTTTTTCGTTCCATCTTTTTGTTGTTTTTCTTTCTGCCTGTCCATCTATATGAGTCAATCTTTATATACGTCCGTTCTCCCTATGTCAACAAATCTACTTTTTGTATTCCGTTGGGTTTGTATGTATATCCGCGTAAGTGTATCTGTCTCTATTAGACCTTCTGCTAATCTTCAAGTTTGTAATCACACCACACCTCTGATCCTCAACTTCAGGAACTCTGTTTCAAATCTCCTTGTACAGAACTGCCCTGACAGTTACCAAATTGGACAGAGATTTTTCTTCTTCTTCTGTTGTCTTCTTTTGTTGAGAAAAGTGAAAACATTCATGCCTCGTCAGAGTGGCAAGCATCACTTCAGAGGTCCTGGGTAGTCGGTATTATTTTGATATTTTCTCCAGGTTATGCCGGTGTGTTGGGAAATGAGCAGACAGATAGACTGTGTGGCTGTGCACCACTTGGTGGTATATTGATGACAAGTTAGATATTGTGAGGACCCTTTGGGAACGAGTGAACAGTGAGGAGGCGCAGACAGATCATTACGTTCTAAGGAGAATGTCGCTGCGAGGAGTTACCAGGGGATCTGGCCGACGCTCAACACTCAGGGGAAGGATGAGACGGATGTATAATCAGACGGTTACTGGTACCATCGGAGTTGGAACTCTTTGCTTGGTGCTAAAGATGGGGTCGAAGCACTTATGGGAGTGTCCCAAGTGCACTTATGTCGATTCCTATTTCAACATTCAACATTTGTTGTCGTCTCACTGGAACCAGGTTGTAACCAGTGTCGTGGTTTGCTGCATTTATTCTTTGCTTCTCGTTTGGCTTGGGTGAGGGATTTCTTTACCTTTTTACTGCTTTCTTCTACACGATTTATCCATCGCTTTCTTGGTCTTCCTCTGGCCTTTCTCCCAGATGTTCTGCTGTAAAAAGTCTTATGTGCAGTCTGGTCTGGCTGCATTCTCACCAGACAACCGAACCATATAATTCTTTGTCTGTAAATATAATCCAGACATTATCCTTTTCCAACTTTCTCTCTAATGCTGGTTTTCGTAACCCTGTCTCTTCTTGTGTTGTTAGTGACCATGCGGAGACAGCGCATTTCATGTGTAGTTATTTTCTGTTCTAGTGCCCTATTCATTGTCAATATTGTAAGCCTCATTATTTTGCTGTCCTTCTGGCAGACATTTCCGCATCCCTCTTAGATGTTGATTTTGAAACCATCTATACCTCTTTGTTATGCATCAAGTCCGTTTATCTTATTGACACTGGCTGTTCTATGTTCTAGGGATGTTAGGTTTTCCTTTGCTGTCAGCGGCGTCCGTGGCTTAGGCGTTGCAAGTCAGACTCGTAATTTCAACGTACTGCGATCGAAACCCACAGCTGGCTGCGTGGATTTTTATCGTATGCGGCGTCGCAGGTCGACCCAGCCTAAAATGGGTACCAGAATATATGTCCTGGGGAAGTAAAGACGACCGGCGTAATGCTGACCACATTACCCACCTAGTGCCGATTGCTCTGTAAAAAGATTGGTGCTCTTCTTAAATGCCCGATGCGCCTACGGCGTGAAAAGGGATCTTTACTTTAATTTTTTTAACTTCTTTCGCTGTCTATACACGGCGTACCGAGAAGTTCTTTCGACGAGGTCGACACACTGTCTCCCACAGGAAACTGCACAGCTTTCTTTTCGCAACTCTCATTTCTGTTAACGAATGGCGTTTCTGGAATATGTTATTGTGATTAGGTCTCAGGCGTGTGCGAGGAGAAAAACTGCAGGGGGAAGCTCCGAAGGCGCGACAACTTTTCAGTATTGAATCATTGAAGTTTTTTTTATTTTTTATTTTTATTTTACGCTCGTTGGCGATGGCTGTAGTCGGTGGTGGATGGGCTTATAACGTTCACGAGAAACACATGACACCCCTGAACATAAGATAGCCTGTCGGAACCTAAACGAAATCACGCAGCCGAACGAGATGGTTAAGAATAGTAAGCTATACAGATATTTAAAACCGTCATATTAACAAATGCTGTCCTTGTGACAGTCCTAACTCCAGTATGTCTTTGCGGCTCTGATATTTAAAGCCACTGTCATCCCAAATGATGTCTCCCTGACAGGCGATATCCCCACACATCTCTTTGAAGCAAATATCTAAAAGCACAGTCTTCAAAGCCACCACATTTTTGACACAATCATCCCCTTCAATTGCTGCCTCTCTGACAGGCATCACCTCCAAGCTGGACTACCTAGCAGATCTCGGTATTGGCTGCATCTGGATCAGCCCTGTCTACCCGTCTCCCATGAACGACTTCGGCTACGACTTGACCGACTACGAGGACATTGAGCCGTTGTTTGGCACTCTCCAGGACTTCGATGAGCTTGTGAAAGAGGTCCACAAGAAAGGTTGGTGACTGACACCTGTGAAATGATTTTTCTCTTTGCTTACTTTTATTTATTACACAGGATAGAAGCTATCCTGTCCCTCTTCTATTTATTATATTAGACATTCAATACATTATCATATGGCCTTACACACAACACTTTTATGTCTACAAACAGGACACTGTAGGCGCAACCACAACATGCTTAAAATAAAGATTGTGCAGTCCCCACGGTGTGCCTGTTAAACAGGAACACAAACACTTTGGTACATTTTGCAGACCTGCGCATTCAGCTTACAGTTTCGAGAAGAAACCTGGTCTCCAGAGCAAAGTGTGCAGAGCAAGCTACCACGAAAGACCTTCCGCTGACATGGGAGTTCATAGAGGCAACCCACCTGACGGTCTGTCCTGAGTATAGGAAACCGAACGCAGCGAAGAAAAAGTAGATATGTCCTTATTTTGATTTATAATGCAACTTCAAGGATAAGACCAGGGCCGCTGACAGGATTATTGAGTACTGAAACAAGACAAACATGACTGCCCCAGACATGAGCATAACTGATAGTCTGCGTCTGAGACCAACCCTGACGCCTAATAATTTTGAAAACCTAAATTTGAAAAACGAACTACCCACAAGACTAAAATATTAATCGCTGGATTATACAGAAATGAATGTACTTTAACTCGATACCATTGTCAGTGTACAATTAAAAAATTCATTTTGTTTTCATTTTCCCCAGTGTATCCAATCCCTTTCACCAACCCACTAAATAGAGGTTATATCATACAAACTGGTTTTGCTAGACATACAAAGTATACAGTATGAATTATTTGTGAAATATGAGTTTTCCTTATAAACATTTGGTTTCGTTATAACATATCCCCTTCATGAGCCTACTGTAAGCCCCATGGATCCGAAACTAAGATCTCTTCTTATTTCGACTCAACATTCAGCTTAGTGGGGTATTGATCTCCAATAATTAATGTTCTTCTCCATTCCAAATATGTCTCCAGTAGTTCATGATCCAATCATTTCTGTCAATCAAAATTCCCAGAATTTGATACTGCACTTCCTTTTACCAAATAAAGTCCCTAGTAGTTAATGCTAACTATTTGGTATTACTGTTTACTGATTCTTAAATCAGTAATTAGTAATACCAACTATCTCCTTTTCCTCCCGATGGCCACCATCCAACATCTCCAAGTTGATACTGTCAGGAGGGTCAGTGTTGTAGGCGGAGTCGAGAAATTCCTTCCATAAGACCCGAATGTCATTTATTGTAAGCTTTCTATCTATAAACAGTTGACTAAACAATGTTTGTGATACCATGATCAATAGATCAGCAACTCTAACGTGTTTGTCGTTCTCTCTGCAAGGTCTGAGAATCATCATTGACTAAACAATACTTATGATACCATGGTCAATAGATCAGCAACTCTAACTTGTTTGTCGTTCTCTCTGCAAGGTCTGAGACTCATCATTGACTAAACAATACTTGTGATAACATGATCAACAGATCTGCAACTCTAACGTGTATGTCCTTCTCTCTGCAAGGTCTGAAAATCATCATCGACTTCGTCCCCTCGTACACCAGCAGTGAGCACCGGTGGTTCCAGAACAGTGTTCGACGCCAAGGCAAATATACCGACTACTATATATGGCATGACGGGATCATTCTGGCAAACGGGACTCGAGCCCCACCAAGTAACTGGGTCAGTTTTTGTAGTTAATTTTCTAGTGTTCAAAAAATGGGTGTCTGCGCTCGATCTGATGTCGATAAATGAATTAACTAAATCATGCTATGAATAGAAAGGAAATTACCTTAAGGGGTAAAGGAATATGACACCCACGAATACAACTGAACGTTTCGATCCAAGTCCTTTTCAACGATTAGCACAGAAAGGATAATCCCTTGCCACAGCTCCAGACGAAAGACTAAAGAAGGAAAGAAATTTACTGAAAATAAGGAAGAGCTGAAGTTAAACGAAATATAAACAAATAAACCAGAAAACCTAAAAGTTGAAATAATTGCTGATTTCCTTGTTTGGGACTTTGACTTAGAATCAGTTTTTTTTTTTTTTTTTTATCTTGTTTTAGATATTGATAAGGTCTCTGGTTCAAACGTTAAGAGATATTTGTGCTCGTTTTTTTTTTCGCCATTCTTCTCATCTCTAAATCCACCCCCACCTCCCCCTTCCCCCACGTCTTTCCCCACCAACTCCACTCGCTGAGCGTACTAATATTGCTCACGAGTAGTAAAATCTATTAGCATTATTTTTTTTATAACTCCCGTCCACTACAATATGCTGTGTTACTTTATATTATTAAATTGTTATTTTGCAGCAATGTCAGCATACTTAAGTTAGTTGCGTTTACTTTACAGGACGTTGCAGAATCAACCCCGGCATTTTTTATTTTTTCTAGCTATATTTTACATCAGTAGTTTGCCATTGCCTCTGAACGGTTAGCAATCGGTACCACATTCGAAACCGACGCAAGACAATTTGTCCGTAGCTGGGATCCAACCTGGCACCCCGGCATACTACGTTATGCTATTAAGTTTTAACTTTGTTTTAAAGAAGAAATTAAAAACTGGAATACATCGGGACGGGAAGAGTCAGGGGGTTAGGGCCGTGAGCACACCCGAGGAGGAGATGCAGGACAGTTTGACATCATTTCACGCAATATGCTATTTGTCAACGGATGCAATGTGTTCCCAGCTTGCCGTGTTCGGCTGGTCGGCCTGGGAGTGGCATCCCGTCCGAGAGCAGTACTACTACCACAGCTTCTTCGTCAAGCAGCCCAACCTGAACCACCGGGACCCCAACGTGGAGTGGGAGATGAAGGTGGGTCCATGTTGTCAGTGTGGGTGTGTTATCTTAAGTATGAGTGAGTGAGTGAGTGAGTGAGTGAGTGAGTGAGTGAGTGAGTGAGTGAGTGAGTGAGTGAGTGAGTGAGTGAGTGAGTGAGTGAGTGAGTGAGTGAGTGAGTGAGTGAGTGAGTGAGTGAGTGAGTGAGTGAGTGAGTGAGTGAGTGAGTGAGTGAGTGAGTGAGTGAGTGAGTGAGTGAGTGAGTGAGTGAGTGAGCGAGCGAGCGAGCGAGCGAGCGAGCGAGTGAGTGAGTGAGTGAGTGAGTGAGTGAGTGGGTGAGTGAGTCATATAAAGACATCAGATGCTTCTCAAGACAAGAGGCCAGCCAAGAAATATATGGGTGGATGGAGTGAAAGAGACACTACAGAAATGCAATATGACATTAACACAAGCTACACAATTTCCAAAAGACCTCGAAACAAAACATAGCTCCTCTCTACCACTCATAAGTAGTACAACAAAAGCAAGAAGAACAAGAGAAAAAGAAATTGTATCATACTCGTGTACGACTGTTATCAATGCCGTATGTGGCCTATGTGCAACGTTGGGCATCTGCACAGAGCGGCACAATTTTGAGGTTGCACAATTCTAAGATAAAATATTTTAATATCTTTACTGCTTTTATTATTATGAAAGTTTAGTTGTATATTGCGCCTCATTATTCCGTTAGGTTCCTCAACTTGCATATTTGCTTTATCTGTTGTGTATTCGGTTATGTTTAAAAACTTATATACAGCTTAAATACACTCTGAAAGTGTGCTGAGAAAGGCGAGGACAGCGATGCTTTAAGCACAGTGGTAAGCTTCACTTGAAAAGTCACAGGTAGTAAGCATACTTTGAATTTTTTCTCCAGGTAATGCCGGCGTGGAGGGGAATATACAACATATAAACAGGCAGACTTATAGGCTGGATCTGCACTACTAGTTGGTGTATTGATACATGATAAGGCAGATGTCGTCAAGGCCTCTTGGAAACAAGTAATGTGGTCAGAAGAGAAACAAGATTACTATGGCTTGGAGCGAATGATACACCTGCATGTGACCGGAGAGTTGACAGGTCACCACACTCAGAGGAAAGGCAAGACGGACATATAACCAGACTACCACCGGTACCATCCGTATTTTGGGACATTGCGCTGGCTGTTGAACATGGGGATGGAGTGCGTATGGAATGCCCCGAAGGCTGTGATGCCAATTCTTGTCTCACCTCAGCTCAATACAGCTTCAAACTAATGTAAATAATAATCACACAACTTATTGTTGGTAGTTTGTAAACAGCGTGCCATGCTTGAGTCGAGGGAAGAGGGGGTGTAAAACAAATGACAGTGCAGAGGCGTTATCATCATCATCATCATGTAGCAGGTCCTCTTTAGAACGTCGCTCTCATTACGGTCTGCTTGAAAGAAACTCTGCCTCTCACCAGCTCTCCCAACTTGTGCAATTTCATATTTAAGGAGTGACTTATATCCTGCAAAACTCGCGATGGTCAGCCCTTGCCCCTCCTTGCACTGGGCTATCATTTTTATAATTGTCCATGGCGACATACATCCTAAATACAATCCCAATTGATTCGTTAAATTGTTCCCGCTCCCCCCCCCCCTATTTTCTCCCTCCCAAGTTACTATATTTTAAATTAGTATATTTGTTTTTTTTTTAATATTTATTTCTTAAGAGCATCATTCGCTTCTGGCTGGATCGTGGGGTGGATGGATTCAGGGTAGATGCCATCCAGCAACTCTTTGTGGCCGCCAACTACACTTTGGATGAACCTCTTTCTGGCGGGCCAAGTCTTCCGGTAAGTTAGAGTTATTTCCCCCTGTGTGGGCGTGGTTTAACTGGAGACATCAAAACAATACGACACATCTTGACAACTTTAGCCCACCTACAATAATTCAGCCAGTGCGTAACTATTGTATTCATGCTTGGATGACTTCTGTCTGGTCATCGGATTGAAGCTGCCGACAACGAATTGGAAGATTCATAAACAACATGGGTCTAATTTCAGCAAGTCGGTCTTTATTTGCCTGAATGATGAACTAGCTAAATGTTAATATGGCAATCCACAGATGTGGCTATCCGTCCTAATACATCATTAGATTTGTTATATTTCGTCCTTTTTAGGACGAAATTTTTTGTCATTTGAAGCCCTACTCGGGCTTTTTCCAGGGGCCGCAATATAGGCAGGCCATATATATGGCCAAATGTCTGAACGCGGTTTCTGGGACCTCTCCACGGCGATCCTCATCCACATGGTGGCACTTTGTGTCATCGGGTGTTTATCGCTTGTGTGATGTCCTGGTGGGGTAGAAATTCAGTTCAATACATCATCCCTATATGAGACGCAATTGTTATGTTCAAGTACCACTCCAGCTGTTGTCTAGTGCCTCAATATAATATAACGGTTGAATAGGGTTTCTGGGACTTGCGCCTGGTTGATTATCATCCAAATGGCGGCACTTTGTGTCACTTGGTGTTTATGACTCGTTTTGAAGTCATGGTGGGGTTGAACTTCATCCATTCGGATACTCGTCCTTACACGCACAGGACCAGGGGTTACACCTAGCTGGTGAAGCCTATTGTCTCTGTGTGTATGTGTCTGTATGTATGTGTCTGTGTGCGTCTACGTATGTGTCTGCGTGTATGTTTGAATGTGTGTCTTTCATGTGTATATATGTGTTCGTGTCTCTGCGTGAATGTCTCGTGTGTGTCTGTATGTGTGTTTGCCTGTGCGTGTGTGATTGTCAGTGTGTCTGCATGTGTGTCTGTGTGTGTGCATGTGAGTGTATGTGTGTTTGTGTGTGCGTATGTGTGTGTTTGTTTGTGTGTGTCTGCGTGTGTTGGTTTGTGTGTGTTCTGTTCCTGTGTGTATGTCTGTGTGAATTTATGTATGTACGCATGTATGTATGTTGTATGTATATGTGTGTGGAATGTGTGTGTATGTATATGTATGTATGTGGGTGTGTGTATGTGAGTGTGTGTATGTATATATATATGTGTATGTATATATATATATAAATATATATATATATATATATATATATATATGTGTGTGTGTGTGTGTGTGTGTGTGTTTGTGTGTGTGTGTGTGTAAGTGAGGGGATGGGCGTATTTATGTGGATGGGTGCGCGCGCACGAGTGTCTGTGCGTGCGTTTTAACCACCCATGCTTGTGTGTTTTTCTTTTCTTGATATTCATAATATGCATATTATTATACAATATAACATGCTTAATCGATAAAATACAAACCGCTGTGTCAAAGATATTTGTTTGGAAGGGCCAATGTAAGACAGGCCAATTTGTGACCCTTGAAAATAAAGTTCGTTCGTTCGTTCCACTAATGAGCTGATTATCTTGTTTTCAAGGTGGAACGGGGTATCTGTGATTTGCTCTGTTGGCTTTCCATCCAGGATAAGATGATGTCATCTCCTGTGGTCAGAGTGTTGGATAGCAAGTCGGAGGAGGGGGGGAGGGAGAGTGAAAGAAAGAGGGAGGAAAGTGAAGTATCAGTTCTGTAAAATTATCTGGTCGGTCTGTGAACATAGAGAGGGACAAAAGAGCTTTGTAATATCAACACTGTAACATATCATACATGTCATAAGAGACGAACGAACAAACGAAATTTTTTATCAAACCGGGCACGCAAGAACTTCCTACTCGAAGTCCTTTCAAACTTACATTTTTCAGACCGCAATTTATTTAATCAATAAAGCATTATACATTCACATAGCTACATAATACTATGAATATCATGTAAAGAGAGAAATAATCTGCTGCCAGAATGTCACCCTCATCACTTTAAAAAAAAAAAAAAACTATAATTGCAAATGCGAACCAGCCTTTAGCAAGCTACCTTGTGTTTGGAGTGAGCTGTTTAAGGTTAAAATTTGATAGCATAAGACAGTGATTCCCAAACTGGACAGCCGCGATCTCTTCACAGGACCGCCGCGAAATATTCGAAGATATACCAGTTTGTTTTACATACGAATAATCATACTTCTACTTAGGTTAGGGCGCTGTAAAATATTTTTACTTGAAAAAAAAAAAAGCGCCGCGACTAAGAAAAGTTTCGGAAAAACTGGCCTAATGAAAGCCACTGCGTAAGTAAGGGAGATAATTCATAGTGAATCAGTAACAAACGATATTATTGCCCTTGTTGACAGTACGAATACGACTACACGAAACACATCTACATTTCTGACCAACCGGAGACCGTGCAAGCGGTGACGGCCTATCATTCGGTGCTGGATGAGTACACCAAGAAGGATGGTAAAGCCAGGTACTTGTATATCGTAATGATGTTCTTAGTTTTCTTTGCTTCCTGCGGTTAGTTACTTGCTTATACCATTACCCGTAAAGTCATCCCCCTTGTGGCATGCAATTTTTTATTTTTTTGAAGCCTTATTCAATATATCCGGGTCTTAAATGTGGCTGAACGTGGTTCCTGGGCCCTCTCCACGGGTGATCCTCATCCGCATGGTGGCACTTTGAGTCTTTGGGTGTTTATCAGTTCTGTGTGATGTCCTGATAGGGTTATAATTAGGGCTGTACCGAATGGTGATTTTCACTATTCGGCCGAATAGGAATAGCTGGACCAACTATTCGGCCGAATACGAATACGAATAGTGAATCATCATCGTCAGGTGCTTTACCGACTGGCATGGGCGATTACGCCTCGCCACAGTCTGCGATCTCCTGCAGCATGTATCGGTTCGTGTGCTGACACACCTTCATGCCATGCAACAAGACTGTCAAGAATCTTCTCTTGTTGTCTTCCTCTATCCCTCCTTCCACAAATCTTTCCAGTGGTCACCACATGTTCCATTTTACCTCATCTTATATCATGGCCGAAAAATTATGACTGTCTCCTTCGGATGTCTGTAAGTAGTTGTCTTCAGGCTCCCGCCTCTTTCAAAATCTCTTGGTTGTATTTTTTGTGGCTGTCCAAGGTATTTTAAGCTTTGTTCTGTAAAACCACATCTCTGAGGCCTCAAAAAATTGTTTGGCCTGCCTACCAGTTGTCCAGGACTCACAGCCATATGTTAAAACTGGATGTATGTAGCAAGCAAGAATTTTTTTTCATACCTTCAATGACAAAGACATATTGCATAAGATGTTTTTCATTTTATAAAATGCAGTTTTTGCCTGTCCTATTCTGTTTCTTATTTCAGTAATGCATCTTCCATATGATGTTATTCATGTGCCCAAATACTCAAATTTCTGTACTTGTTCCAAAATTAAACCATTGACTTTTATTACACATTTAGGAATAATTATTTTCTTTGATACCACCATTACTTTTGTCTTCCCACTATTCAAACTGAGGCTCATTCTTCCACTTTCGAATAGTGTATAAAATAGATCTAAAAAGAAAACATCCATAATGTCAAATGTACGCTAAAATTTTACTTCACAAAATGTACAAAATAGTAAACATTTTAAAAAATTTCATATTTTGCATCCTTCAGTTAGTCAGTCTGTGGTATCTAATACCTAGGAATAAAAGTATTCTTAGTTATATAACAAGTAACTAAACTTGTAAATAGTCACTGACAGCTTATTTAATCCATGAAAGCGGAATAAGCTTTAAAAAAAAAAACTTTGTTCCATGTTGTCAGCATTAAGGCAACTTCTTGTCTCACTGAAGGTATTTCCAGCTGTATTAAAAACAGACGTTTACTTGGTACACTTGCAGGTGGTGCACAAAGATAACGCTTGACAGTATGAGCTAAGTTTGGAAATCATGATATGTTTATTTTTCACCAGTCCAGAAACGGGGGTAAGGTAACCACTATTCGTATTCGGTCTGACCACAACAATTCTGCCGAATACCGAATAGATATTAGGTCCACTATTCGGCCCCGAAGCGAAACGAAGCGAATATTCGGTACAGCCCTAGTTATTATACTACTACTGCTACCCATATAGTTTATACACTTCGCAATTATTATCCCCTTGTGGGATGCAATTTTTAGTTATTTTGAAGCATCCCCCCCCCCCCCCCCCTGGCTTTTACCAGGGGCCCTAATATAGCCATGCCTTAAAACTGGCTTAACGGGGTTTCCGTGATCTCTTCACGCGTGATCCTCATTCACATGGTGGCACTTTGTGTCACCGGATGTTTATCGCTTGTGTGATGTCCTGGTGGGTTACAACTCATCTACCTAGCTACTCCTATAGCCATTGAAGCGCCACCCTGGTTGTTGCCGGGGGCCCTTATATAACATCATTTCCGGGACCTTCTTAACGGGTGCTCCTCATCCATATGTTAATACTTTGTGTTACCAGGGTGTTTATCGCTCTGTGAGATGTCTTGGTGGTGTAAAATTTACTACTATTACCCCTATAGCCATTACACTCTCCGTCCCAATATGGGGGGAATTTTTTTTTTTTTTTTTTTTGGGGGGGGGGGGGTGATTTGAAAGCCCCACCCCAACTGTTGTCGGGGACCCTAATATAACCTAAAGTTGGAGCGGGGTTTCGAGGACCTGTACCTGGGTGATTCTCATCCGAATGATAGAACTTTGTGTCGCTGGGTGTTTATCGTTCGTTGTGTGGTGCTGATGAAGTTGAACGTCACTCCCCCCACAGCCAAGGTAGCCTTAACTCCTTCATTAGAAGGCAGGTTGCATCGTAGGACTACTCTAATATACCAGTTTTACGTTTGAAATAGGTTTCAGTCAATGGCTCCTATTTGATAATCCACGTCACTGCACTCAAGATATTCCCATAAGCGCTCCGTCCACATCTTCAGTAGCAAGTAATGCTCCAATTCCGATTGTACCAGTAACTGGCTGATTATATGCCTGTGTGCACATCAGTTTTACAGCACACAGCTTGGTTCTTCGCCTCTGAGGTAGATATACCTCTACTTCAAAGGATTCACCCATTATTAGACGATGTTCACAACCTGCTTGTCAGGGGGTAGGGGTTGATAGGTCTATTCTCCTTTCTCCCTCCACTTTTCTCTTCCACTTCCAATCTCCCCCGCCCTCTGAGAAATCCATTCAAATAATTGTAGCGCAACAGCTTCTATATGCTTACGTTACAATTGATAATTACCCTCCTTTCTTCAAGGTATATGGTAATCGAATCATACGCCGAGCCAGAGATCAGGAAGACCCTCTACGCCACTGGTGGGGTCCCTTTCAACTTCGGACTGATACAGTTGGCACCGCCCCTGACGGGCAATAAACTTGGCGAAGAGTGTCCAGGAAGAGTACCAGAGTCTACCAAAGGACGGCTGGCCCAACTTTGTGGTAGGTGGTGTGGTTTCTTTGTGGTTTCTTTGTGGTAAAAGAATTATGACCTTGTCGTTAACACAATGTAGTTGAGAATGATGAGTGTGGTGATGATGTAAATAGCATATAATAACGATACTGATTACTTTTAATTTTTTAGTTGAGTTTAAAACTCATCACTTGGAAAATTCACAGAAGCACTCCATCCTTATTAGTTAGCAGCCAGCGAAGGGTTACAATTCTAAAGCTGCTAGTAGCGCCCTTATTATGTGTCCGACTTGCCTTTCCCCAGTCTAGAGTGTCAACACGATCCACTGGTCACTCCTAGTGGCATCATTTTCTTCACAACGTAGTGGTCTATTCCTGCCTCCGCCTTGTTCACTTGCTCCTAGAGGACCCTGACTACATCTAGCTTGCCATGCAACAGTTCCCCACCAAGTGGGGCAGAATCAGCCAGTATGTCTCCTGTTCACGTCCTAACACACACTGCATGACTTGAATACTATATCCAAGGGACGCTAACTACCCTGGACCTGTAAAGCGATGTAGCATGTATTTCTCCAGCTTTCTCATCTGTCTTCAATCAGTTACAATCAAGACATGTGTGTTCAGCTGGTTCTCAACCCAGTGGGGAGGACAATGTCGACCATGGCCTATAATGACAATAATGATTACTTCAGTAGCAGTACTAACATACTTCTGCTCCACTGTATGTATGTATGTATGTATGTATGTATGTATGTATGTATGTATGTATGTATGTATGTATGTATGTATGTATGTATGTATGTATGTATGTATGTATGTATGTATATACATATATAAATATATATATACATATATATATATATATAAGTATATATATACACATACACACACACACAAACACACAAACCCACAACACAGAGTCTGAGTAGAAGCTTGGCCCCTACTCCAAGGCTACGGGTGCTAGCTGGGAGCAATGCACGTTTTAAACAAGAAAATAAAACGACAAGAATAGGAAGATGACAAAGCGAAAAATTGAGGGATTGGAAGGAAAATAAGAGAAAGAAATTTAATCCAAGTAGCCACATTCCGTTCTAATGTGTAAATGAGGTTTCCCATCTTCCTATGATCACAGGTATTATATGAGAAAGAGGAAGGCGTCGACCAAACGAAGACAGAAGACAGTAAACAGACCCAAGGAATGATAACATCTATGGTATGGGAAACGAGGGATCTAGTCTTAAGTGCAGTCTGTGATAAAAGTGACGTTAGGCAAAGTACCTCTTCTGATGGGTTCAGGATAATGACTTATGAATTTGTTTTTATGATTTGACATTTTACGTTTCTCTGTCAGTGCAACGTTTTTGCCTGACTACTTCTATTATACTTCCATTAAACAGCTAGGGAATCACGACCAGCGGCGGGTGAGCCATAGGTTCGGATCCAAGAACGTGGACGCATTGAACCTGGTTCTGCTGACCCTCTGGGGAACACCCACCACCTATGAAGGGGAGGAGCTCGGCCTGACGGAGCCGGACATCTCTTACAACCAGACCCGGGATCCGTGGGGCGTCAACTTTGGTCCGGTGAGCTACTCCTACATTTGTCTGATCGTGCTCAGTGTGGCTCCAAAGTATTTGCTTTGTAAAAAGATCACTTTCAATGGAGATAACGTTACATGCTTTATCGATATAGGACAACTGCTGTCTCAAAGATGGGCATAGGGAAGGGTCGAATGTAAAGTTTTGTTCGTTCGTTCGTTCCTTCACTCATCAACGTTCTTTTAATGTTTTTTTCGGACGTCCTAGCTTAATTTCATTTTCAATATTTTTTCTCAGGCATGTGTTTTCAAATTCATTTAACTTTCCTTGTACATATTTAGTGGTACTGCAACTGTCACTGGCATATGTTAAACTTTAATAAAATTAGAAATGAAAATGCGTAACTAGATTGTAAAGTTATTAAATTTATAGTTTCATATTTTGTTCTGGCTTTAAAAGCTGCTTATGCCTAGCGGTTATTGTTGAGTCAAGTAGTGTGAATCTCTGGACATTGACTTCTGCAGAGCGGCTTTCATCCGTAACCGTCATACACACACTCTGTGCACCACACACTCTGTGCACCACACACTCTGTGCACCACACACTCTGTGCACCACACACTCTGTGCACCACACACTATGTGCACCACACACTATGTGCACTACACACCACTTGACTCGTTTGTTTACCGGAATGGCATCCTTTCCTGCAAGTTTCTGTAACAAAAAGGATGCGGGTGTGGAGGGGTTTCTGACTGCCGCGCCTAACCCTGCTCCTTTCTCGTCCAGACTTGTGGTCATGGTGGCGGTTCCTTTAGTTAATTACAAAATAAAATCTCAACAAAATACACGAATTTTATGACAATAGCAGGGTCTAAGGAGGACGGCTGTGCGAGCAGTTACCAGGGGATCTGGACGACTCTGAACACTCAAGGGAAAGGCAAGAAGGATACACAATCAGACAGTTACTGGCTGTTTCGGAACTGGAACTGTGCTTGCTGCTGTAGGTGGAGGATGGAGCGCTTATGGGAGTGTCCCGAGTGCTGTGATGTCGGTTCTTAATCCAACATTCTTTTTTTTTTTTTTTTTTACCAGCTGTAAATTCGGGCGGAAAGTTCTGGTAGTTCATCCACTGCTGGACCGCAGTCCCGTTCCAGAACCTGAATGTTGTGTGTACAGATCTGATTCATTTGTATGCAGACTGTTGGTTCCCTGCCTCTCAGGCAGAAGCACTCCGACTTTGAAGGAAGCTCCCAATAAAGTCGACTCTCACAACATGCTTTTGGGTAGGTTGGTGGGTCTATTCTTGTTTTCCTTATAATAGAGCCCCGGAACCCACACGGGGAAATTCAACATTGAACATATGGCGCTAGTGTGGTTTCTAATTTACTGAACACAGAACTATGCCTGTAATAAGTATTTTCCTTGGCGAGGTTTTGTCGTTTAGAGATTTCTTGATGCCCTTCCGCTTTGTAATTTTGAATTCTAATGCTCGATGTGCTGCTATCGTAAGTAAAATATTTCCGTATTATTTTAGAATATATGTATACACTACGCACTCACCTAAACACCCGCACTCACTCAAACGCACGCACTCACGCACATAATCGTCTATGTCCTGAAGCCTACCCATCTGTCAATCCACCCATCTATTTTTTTTTCTAGGATCGCTACGAAGAAGTATCTAGAGACCCCTCTAGAGCACCCATGCAGTGGGACGACGGTTACCAAGCTGGGTTCACAACGGGCAACCAAACCTGGCTGCCTTTGGCCGCCGATTATAAAGTCCGTAACGCCAAGGTCAAACACGGTGATTTCAATGCAAACCATTGTTTAGTTAACTTGGTAGATGGTTGTTTGGTGGGTGGGTTTGTTGTTTGGTGGATTGGTGGATGGATTTGATTGTTTTGTTGCTTAATCGTTGACTGGTTGACTGTTTGGTTTGTTGATTGTTTGGTTTGTTGATTATTTGGTTTGTCTGTTATTGGTTTGTTGGTTACTTGGTTTGTTGGTAATTTGTTTGTTGGTTATTTATTTTGCTGTTTACTTGGTTTGTTGATTATTTGGTGTGTTAATTATTTACCTTGTTGGTTATTTGGTTTGTTGGTTATTTAGTTTGCTGTTTATTTGGTTTGTTGATTATTTGGTGTGTTAATTATTTAGCTTGTCGGTTATTTGGTTTGTTGGTTATTTGCTTTGTTGTTATTTGGTTTGTTGGTTATTTGCTTTGTTGTTATTTGCTTTGTTGTTATTTGGTTTGATTGGATGTTTAATTTGTTGATTATTTGGTTTGTTGATTAGTTGGTTTGTTGATTGTTTGATTTGTTGTCTGGTTGGCTGTTAAACTGTCTAAAAGCCAGTCACTTTGAAGAAAATGAAGTCAATCTTTCTGCCTGTAGACAGAGCAAGACAGTTCAGGACCCACAAGTCTGAAGTTCTACAAACAGCTGGCCAAACTTCGGTGGACACGACCGGCGCTGATCAGTGGCACATTCAAGGTAAATATGATTGATGCCCAGCTGTCATGTGTGTTTATTTGTAACTATTGTTATTCTGATGTCAGATGTCTTTCTGTGCGCGCGACATGCACCTCCACAAACAGGTGTCCACATCTGTTCCTGAAAAGTTTAAATCATTCATCTGTTCCCCTGTCTCTCTCTCTCCTCCTCTTTGTCTATCTCTCTTTATCTCTCTGTCTCTCTCTCTCCTCTCTCTCTCTCTCTCTCTCTCTCTCTCTCTCTCTCTCTCTCTCTCTCTCTGTGTGTGTGTGTGTCATTCCTTTTCTATATGTGCTCATATTTGTGATATGAATTCAGCATTTCTTGTAAAGTGATTCGTGATTAATGAGGCTCAGCACTCCGAACAGATCCTTAGGTGCTCTGATCTCCTCAACAGCTTTACAAGCCTAATGCGACTGATGAGACACCAGTAAATATATGCTGAAAGATTTATAACCTGGATGCACTGTTGTGTTTGTTCTGGCTGTTATCGTCTCAATGCGCACCCAGTAGGTGTGTTCTACCTTGATACGGTATACGGTCGCATGTGCCCCAGTGCCCTCAAAAAGCCTCGCAGCGAGTGTTTGGTGCGATTAGGTCAGATTACTTATATAACAACCTACATAATGCTTTAATTGTTCCGTATAATTAACTCGGATTACTTATATTTCCAAATACACTTTTTAATAGAAGTTTAGGAAGGACTAGGCTGGGGGATAATGATAATCGCTGACGCTAACACGATTGTGTTACCTGGGAGTAAAGCTTGGTGAAGCACGTCTATGCCATCTTCGAGGTCAAGACATGAGACATTATTATAATCAAATGCTCTCTTGAAAAATAAGTAGAGCTACTTTAGAGGACTGCTGCGCCGGATGAATGAGCACACATGGGAGGGAGGAATGAGCACACATGGGAGGGAGGAATGAGCACACATGGGAGGGAGGAATGAGCACACATGGGAGGGAGGAATGAAGCACTTGGGATTTTGTGGATATGAGCACACATGGGAGGGAGGAATGAGCACACATTGGAGGGATTCGAATGAGCAGTGGGAGGGAGGATGAGCACACATGGGAGGGAGGAATGAGCACACATGGGAGGGAGGAATGAGCACACATGGGAGGGAGGAATGAGCACACATGGGAGGGAGGAATGAGCACACATGGGAGGGAGGAATGAGCACACATGGGAGGGAGGAATGAGCACACATGGGAGGGAGGAATGAGCACACATGGGAGGGAGGAATGAGCACACATGGGAGGGAATGCATCGTAACGGACATATTTTTTGGGTGCGCTTAACTCATACTAATATTTCCAACAAACCTTTTCAACTGTTTGGTGCGATTAACGCAGGTGCTTATATTTCAGACACATCTTTCAAATGTTCAATGCGATTAACTCAGACACTTATATTTCTACATCTTTTTAATTGTTCGATAAACTCTGATACTTATATTTCCAACTTACCTTGTTAAATGTTCGATGAGATTAACGCATATATTTTATATTTCCAACACCCCGTTAACTTGTTTGGTGAGATTAACTCAGATACTTATATTGCCCACATACTTAGTAACTGTTCAGTGAGATTAACTCAGATACTTATATTGCCCACATACCTTAGTAACTATTCAGTGAGATTAACTAAGATACGTATATTGCCCACACACCTCAGTAACTATTCAGTGATATTAATAACTCAGATATTTATATTGCCCACATACTTAGTAACTGCTCGGTGAGATTAACTCAAATACTTATATTGCCCACACACCTCAGTAACTGTTCAGTGAGATTAACTCAGATACTTATATTGCCCACATACCTTAGTAACTGTTCTGTGAGATAAACTCAGATACTTATATTGCCCACATACCTTAGTAACTGTTCTGTGAGATAAACTCAGATACTTATATTGCCCACATACGAGTAAAGTTCTGTGAGATAAACTCATACTTATATTGCCCACATACCTTAGTAACTGTTCTGTGAGATAAACTCAGATACTTATATTGCCCACATACCTTAGTAACTATTCAGTGAGATTAGCTCAGATACTTATATTGCCCACACACCTCAGTAACTGTTCAGTGAGATAAACTCAGATACTTATATTGCCCACACACGTAGTAACTGTTCGGTGAGATTAACTCAGATACTTATATTGTCCACACACGTAGTAACTGTTCGGTGAGATTAACTCAGATACTTATATTGCCCACACACCTCAGTAACTGTTCAGTGAGATTAACTCAGATACTTATATTGCCCACACTCCTCAGTAACTGTTCAGTGAGATTAACTCAGATACTTATATTGTCCACTCACGTAGTAACTGTTCGGTGAGATTAACTCAGATACTTATATTGCCCACACTCCTCAGTAACTGTTCGGTGAGATTAACTCAGATACTTATATTGCCCACACACCTCAGTAACTGTTCGGTGAGATTAACTCAGATACTTATATTGCCCACACACCTCAGTAACTGTTCGGTGAGATTAATTCAGATACTTATATTGCCCACACTCCTCAGTAACTGTTCGGTGAGATTAACTCAGATACTTATATTGCCCACACTCCTCAGTAACTGTTCAGTGAGATTAACTCAGATACTTATATTGCCCACACTCCTCAGTAACTGTTCGGCGAGATTAACTCAGATACTTATATTGCCCACACTCCTCAGTAACTGTTTGGTGAGATTAACTCAGATACTTATATTGTCCACACACCTCAGTAACTGTTCAGTGAGATTAACTCAGATACATATATTGCCACTATACCTTGGTAACTGTTGGGTGAGATTAACTCAGATATTTATGTGCACCGTTTCTGGTGTTTGGGTGTTTCTTGTAGGTGGCTATTGTTGATGACAACATATTCTCCTACGTGCGTGAGCTGGTCGGCGAGAAGTACCTGGTGGCTGTCAACGTGGGAGGCAAGGAGTCGACCTCCGACTTTACGGCTTTCTCCAGTCAGCCAAGAGCTGAGGTCCTGGCTACAACACCAGGTACTTGTTCGTGAGTCTTCGTGTGTGTGTGCGCGTGTGGGTGTATGTGTATGTGTGTGTGTGTAATGGAGTGAGTTAGTTAGTGAGTGACTAAGGGAGTAAGTGGGTGAGTGTGGGCTAGTGCGTGTCCTGCGTGAGTTTGGGTTGGTGAGTGAGTGCATGATTTAGTGTTTGAGTCCGTGTCTTAGAAATTAAATTTGGGTTGATGAATAAATATGTGTGAGTGAGTGTGTGATTAAGTGAGTTAGTGAGTCAGTGATTAAATTAGTGAGTGTATATACGAATGTGTAGTCTGAGAGAGTGAGTGTCCGGGGGGTGGGTTGAGAGAGCGAATGAGAGGGTGACAGGTTGTGTGAGAGTAGGGGAGTGAGTGAATGAATGACGAGTGAGTAAGTGAGCGAAAAGAATTGTGGCAAGTGGTCAATTCTCTAGCCTCGCACTCGGAAGGTCATGAATTCGTTTTTAGCGATGCATCGTTTGGTTCACACGTGCAAGTATTTTCGGATATCATGGAGATGGTTGCCCCTGCAGGGCGCAACATCCCTCAGATGGACAAGAGTCTTTTTTTTCTGGATTCAATTTACTACCATGCTGGTGTAGCAATGTTTAAAATTCTTCTCTCCTTCTTAGTTTTATCGGCTGTAAACTCCTGCGAAAAAGTTGTAGTTGTTCGTCCATTTCTGAACTTTGGTCTCGTTCCAGAATTGGAATTTTGAGTGCCCATCCATTTTACAGACAATGCTTGTGTTTATGCAAACTGTTGGCCCCTCGATTGTCAGACAGATGAATTCCGAAGGAAACTCCCCTAATTAGAGTGCTTGTACGACATTTATTGTTAGCAAGGCAGTGGGTAGCTTTATTGTTCGCACAAAACGGGGCCCTGGTACAAAGACTTTTTTTTAGAATTAAAACTTGGTCTTCCATATTATTGAACTAAATTTGCGAGCGGGATGGGAAGGGATTGGACATTGGGGCGGGGGGGGGGGACAGGGGGGGGGGGACAACGGAAATAGGTATAGAAAGAGAGGAGAGGAGATGGGGTAAAAGGAAGGGAAAAGTGGAGAACAAAGTGATAGAGGGGAAGAGAAAGTAGAGGAGAGCATGAGATTACCTTTCTTGTTTCCATTATTATTGTGTATATTTTTTTCTGTGGTCTTCGCTGTATAATATTTAACCCTAAAATACATGCAAAAATAGAATACTTTAACTCATCTGTAAACATCATCGTCCCCAGCTTTGCAAGGAATCAGCGCCAACTCCACAGTTGACCTGTCCGCTGTCAAACTTGAGCCAG